TTTAGTATCAAAACCCATTCCTTCAAAGATTCCTACGTAAACGAACTAGTCAGCTAGCAGGTACATATGTAGGTATTTCTACACTATGTAAGAGGATTTGCATTTTGCCCACGCTGGAGTATCTACACTACATAATACCCAAGCAACTAATAAGTCACCGCAGAACGCCTCCTCCGATATGGGGGGGTGGTCGGGGTTAAGACTTACATGTAACTACTATGTAAGTCGCGTCAATTGGCCCATTCCTTAACAGCATCTCCCAACCAGCAGGGAGATTCGGTGCCCCTACCGATGCACCCTGCCGCAGTAACTAATGCCTCTCGCACAGACTTGGCTGTTCACGAGCAGTCTAGCAAGTCTACCTAGCAGCTAAGAGATTTAGTACTGCATTGATATTGATATTGTACATAATAGAAAAGGCCTTCCAAGGAAAAAAAAATGAGGAGTTCATAGATATGCCGAAATTCTCCAAAAGTTCTCATCATCCTTCCTCCATCATTGCTGTAACTTCGGTAGGCATTAGCTCGAGGCAATGGTAACAAAAAAAAATTAAAAAAAAAGTTGGGGACGCGATAACTAGTTATCCAAACCAACGGAGAAGCCCTTCATTTGCACTAGGAGGTCTCGTGAGGTACCGCCGAGAAACTTCTTGGCCCAGCCTCCGTAGTCCCTAACACGATGGCACCACTCTTGCCCCGTACGGAGCTAACAACTAGGGCCGTAACGTTGGTGTGGAAAAGCGGGTATACACTATTGCCGTCTTAATCATTCTATCCAGCGAAAGCGAGGGAGAGGTTAAGAGTTATTGGAAAGAGAAGAAGAGGAGGAGGAGGTAAGCATTGTCGTGTGCCTACCTAACTAGTATGTAGGTAGGTATGTCGGTATGTCGGTATGGATGTAGTTATGGATATGGCAGTTAATATGGTAGCCTCGGAGAAAATGTTGCTGTGTATGACAGTGGCGTACATAAGGACATACATACACTAATAGATACCTACATACAACTTACATACGAACCATTCAGGGACGGGCGTTTATTTCGGGTCTAGTAGGTAGGATTCGACATTTGGTAAGAAATATACATACATAGTTACCTACTGACTATCTAACAGGATCTCAGGACACAAAATAATCTCTAGCAATTTACCTTGCCTTGCCCTGGGCTGCTTGCCTGCTTGCTTGCTTGCTGCATACTATGTACATACATCCACATCGGGGTTGATCAGATACGAAGGGAGATAGATCGAGTTCTGATTTCAGACGAGGGATGTCGTCAGTTTACACGATTGGCAATTTGCTTCCGATCAAGAAAGGGAAAAGCGCCAAATCTCTCTCCCACGAGGCGTCCAGATTGATTGCGGCCCGCGATGTGGGAAACGTCTGTACTTCTTGTGCGGTTCGGCGCGATCTTCGGATTAGCCAGCCAGGCCTTGCTTGTAATGTATTGTACATACTACATACAGATGTACACACATACCCTACATATGTACATGCTGTAGTTACATGTATCCATATGGATATCTACACTATTAACTAGCCTACCTACCTAACCTAGCAGTACCTACATAATAGGCCTGTAACTGTACTGTATAAACCGACCCAAGGCTTTCATGGGGGCCTGTATGTTAGGCAAATCATCTCGTTCCACTCCATGCCACGGTATTTCAAAGGGAGGGAAGGGGGATGGGGAGATGGGGGAGGGGGTTGGGAGGAAGGGTTCAAAATTCCTTGCACGCACGTACTACGAAGTAGCATTGGTAGCATTGGTAGAATAAAAATAATTGGAGAAGAGCATCCAATAACTCTTCTGCCTCTCGGATTCGTACCCTTATCTTGTGAGGAATGGTGTTAAGAAGAGAAAGCCTGTCTATATCATCTATCAATTATTACACAGTAAAAAAGAGTGGTTCAATGAAAAAGAAAAAAAAAAGCAAGTTGCAGCGCAGCGCAAGTGCAGAGTGCAGAGTGCAGAGTGCAGAGTGCAGAGTGCAGAGTGCAGTGCAGTTTGTGTTGTGTGTGCAGGGCTCGGACGTTCTCGAGAGGAGTCCGAAAAGGGGAATTATTGATAGTTATTCCAACCCAGCGCCATCTTTCACAACTACAACGAGTCCCGGTTTCCGACACGGTCGAAGGTGATAGATAATGAGAAGTGGAAAATTAAATAAATAAATCAATAAATAAATCAAAAATGCCTGTATATAATGTAAGGCTTGTAATACCTTTGTGATGATGGATTATTATGGTTGTTGCGATTCACGGTGTCCGAGAAAGGATAGAATCTACGTAGCTACCCAGGAACCTTACATTTGATGTTGATAGTACGCATCTTGACAAGACTCTGATCGTGTTTCCCCAAGTTTTTGGTGTACCAAAGGTAGGACATCCATGTCTAGGAATCCAATAGACAGATGTTCATTGCCCTCGGAAGAGCGGCTTAGGTTGTGATGATATCTCCAATATCACATCCAATATGGACACTCTTACATACATACCTATGTACTGTGCAATACATACCACGTACATACCTACGTACCTATTCATATGCTCTAAGCGCTGATGTAATTCGGGGGATACTGCATAATACCTACTTACACATCTCAACGCCACGGACCAAGAGGTCAAGAACCAATTGGCTGATTTCTCGCATGCATATGATACCTACCTACCTATTTTGATTCCAGTGTCTCGCATCGGGGGCCGACCAACTCTCATGAAATAATGAACAATACCTAACAATAAACACGGCGCCGGGAGGTATTCGCAACGGAAGCGTTCTCCCTACCTACGGGCAACCTGAGAAGCCTAGCACCCACCTCCACGACATCAGACACGGGAGGATATTACCAGGATATCACGACATACATTGTAATTACCCGCGCGATCCCATTGCCCAACGAGAGAGGCAGAGAAAGAGAGTGCGAGAGAGAGAGAGAGAGAGAGAGAGAGAGAGAGACAGTGCCGGCAGGCAGAGGCAATTCAATGTCTCAGCCAGTCACCATTCCACTCCCGGTGGGTTTCACGCCCAATGAATGTTTATCTACCTACTGTAGGTAATTATGCTGTGTGTTACTCGTCGTTCCGAGGTACCAAGTTCTCGGGATGAGGTAGGTAGGTAGGTATGCTACATACCTAACTATACCGACCTTTATATCTACCTACCTACCTACCTAGTACCTGGCTTGGTGGTGGCAGCAGCGAGTCACCTTCCGAGCGCCATCGATTACACCTCCCGCTCATGGCTGGCGACATCTTCTCCCCCGCCCGCCACTATGCCAGCTGCCGTTGTGTCCGTTCGAGGACCACCATTGTATCTGCTCTCCGCTCTCTGCTCACCTCTCGGTTTGCGTCCCGTAGCGGTAGTAGCACGCACGCACGCACGCAAGCACGTACACACCTACATGTTCACTTGCTCTGGTGATGGAAGAGAGAACATTGCAGTGAACCACATTGCGTACCTAAACACAGTAGGTAAGCATTAGGTTGAGATATACAGTAGGTAGGTATTGGGTTGAGATACATGTGCATACCTACCTATGTTCGGCAGCGTGCCTAGGCATTTCTGAGGGGGTCCATGGCACCTAACGCGGCGTCATAGTGTCGACAGCGCAACTGCGACACCGTTGCCGTCGAGGGTACATGCTTGTGTGTGCACTTGGAAATTTTGGTAAAGCCATTCGGCGTGCTTCCCGAGTCACAGTCCCGTGTTACCTACCACATACCACTTTACCATCTACCACCTGCCACACACCACACTACTTGCATATCCTACAGTACAGTACATACATACATACATACATACATACATACATACATATATACATGCATACGCATAATCCCCGGTGGGCAAGGTAGAAGCCGGCGGGAATCTGGATCTGAGAGGGGGAAGGGGGGTGGCAATCGCAATCTGGATCGAAAAAAAAATAAAGAGAGAGAGAGAGATGGATGTCGACGCGGTTCCGCCGATGTGAAGAAACAAGATCTACAGATGTAGATGTAGGTTATTATTGCCTGCCTGCCTGCCTGCCTGTTTGCCTACATCTGTGTAGATATATGTAAGAGATCGCCAGGCCTAGCCGCAAATCCAAGTTGCTACCTGTTCCTAGGTTAGCAGCTTTCTTTTCTTTGACCCTTTCCTTTTAGCCCCTTTTACTTACCCAGGGTACCCTAAACATGCCTTCTATGCCATCTTCTTCTCCTTCTTCCACCCGCAGGTAAATACATATTATACATAACTAATCTTCTTCGCGTATTATTCTATGGCTGGTCTGGTTCGTGCTTTCGAATGATCCTCAGCAATCTGATCGAGTTTTTTTTTTATTTATTTTAGTGGGTTACATGCGGATGATGTGCTGCAGGGTGTGTGGCATAGCCGCATTAAACTCGAGACGCTTAGATCATTTCAAGGACCTTCGAGTCTCGAGTTCTCTGACAGAGTCTCGACAAGTACACGTAGAGGCCCCCTTCTTTTTGGTTGTTTGTACATAGTAGTTACATACCTAAAGTACACAGGTACATATCTAACCTGAATGTTCCAGTGCTGCGAAAGTCCAACATTGAAGTAATAATAATAACTAGACAGTTAGGTATAGTTAGTTACCTAAGATAATTACTCGAGCCCTCCAGATGTCCTTAATAGAACGTTCAAATGTTATGTAAAATAACCACCAACCATGAAAATTCCATGTTAGTTATTATTCTCAGTAATTTTCTAGAACACGCAATGCAGATATCTTAACACAGCCAATACATAATAGCTACTACTATGGATCTCCTGTCAGAGCCTCAGTCCGAGAATCGTTCGATCCTTTCCTCAGTCGGTCTGGCGTTGTCGCAACTCTGGCTCTTGATTGGACACACATCCCTCCCCCCTTCACATTTCTTACAATACAGATACAGATAATACAAGCTCCATGCACTGCGCAACAGCTGGTACGTGCTGCCCCTAGCTTAGGCGGCTCAATCCCCCCTCTCCCCTTCACTGGCTCCCCCTTACAATGACCTGAAACGCCAATGGTGAGGGAAACGGCGCATCGTCGTTCTGGCTCCAGGCCCTTTCACCTCATCGCATGTGGAACCGGGTGTGGAGTGGTGTTTTCAGTGCGTTTTGCGTTCAATCTTCTTCGTCAGGCCATGGCAATCTCGATTTTCTTCAAGGCTTAACCTCTCGCTATTGGCTTCTTTCCCTTCTTCTTCCCATTTCGGCCTCGTCCGTTGACACTGTTTTTTTTTTCTCCCATTCGACCATTAGGCGCTTGCGTCTTTCGCTTCTATCCTCCCCGTACGTGTGCTATGCATCGTATTCGCTAAGATTATTCTTCTTTCTTCTTCTCTTCTTTTAATCATTCTTTTCATTTCAACCCCTTACCCATTTACCTTTTTTTTTCTTCTTTCGCTTCTTTCCGGCTTGACGTCGAAGGCGTAGGTGCTGTCGCGCTGCCCTAAAGTCGATATTCTTTTTTTTATATCGACGTGCCGTTCTTTTATACTTTCAAGCCCTTCGACTTCGATCAAACGCCGCCCTTGACTATTAGCAAAAAGACGCCGGTCGTCAATACCGCATTTTTAAAACACAAAAAAGCCAAACCCAAACGATACCAACGTAAACTGTACTGGAGGAAGTAAGAGGGGAGATATTGTTGTTAAAAGAGCAGGAGAGAGAAAGAAAGAGAGAGAGTGTGGGAAAAGATAAAAATAATAAGTCAAGATGGTTAATAAGGTGCTTGCGGCCTTCATGGTCACGGACGGGCTGTTTGTGGCGATGGGCGCGATCATGCTGGGCTTCAGCGTCATTGTCCAGCAAACGTGTTTCGACACGCCGGGAGACGGAAACGAGGCAGCCCGAGATTTGCTGTACCAGAAGTTCCCCTTTACAGGTGAGGCAACCCTCGGGAGAAAGGTCAAAGAGTGTTTGCTAACAGGCTATTTACTTGCTAGCCGGCATCGTCAACGCAGTCTTCGTCTTCGTCACCTTCCTGGCCACGATCCCCGCCATGGCGACGAATAACCGGAGCTGGCTCAAGCTCGCCGGGTACATGGTCGTCGTGACCGCCGTCTTCACCATGGCCATCGGCGTGGACCTGTGGATCCTCACCCTGACCATGAAGGAGGAGTTCCACCAGATCTGGCTGTCGCAACAACCTCCCGTGCAAGAGATGATGCAAGCAGCTGTAAGTGAACCAAACTAAACTATTATATATAACCATTGGTCTTGCAAGCTAGTTCCAACTAAACCCCCTTTCCACAGTTCAACTGCTGCGGCTTCTTCAACTCCTCCTCCCCCGCCTTCATCACCGACGCGACGTGCCCGAGCCCCGCGACCGCCGCCCTCATGCAGGGGTGCTCGACGCCGCTGAGCTCCTTCGGCAATACCTTCGTCGACAACATCTTCACCGCCATGTTCGGCATGGTCGGCATCGACACCGTGCTCATCATGTCCATCGCCTGCCTGCTCAAGGACCGGAAGGAGCGCGAGCGCTTCCGCCACATCGACGAGAAGAGCGGTGTCCGAGGCACTTTTTAAAAATTCCTAAATAAAAAAAGATTTGCCAACATGCCTCTTCCTGATTAACGATATGTGCCGGGCATCAAGTGGGGGGGTTTTTTTTTCTCGGTTGTCAACGTGTAGATTTTTTTAAAAATTTTTAGGAATTTACCGATAATGGGAAGAAATCTACTGTTTGGTCGGGTTTGGCTGGAGATGTTTTCACGTGTAGCAGGCAGCAAGCATCATGACGAGTTGGAAGCAATTTCATCAAATACAACTACCACTAATTTTTTTTGCCGAATTGTGGAAACATTAGAAATGATTGTAGAAACGGCCGGCTGTCAACGGATCCCCTGAATTAAGCATTCCCTTATTATCCTGTTGTTCATGTTTATATGATAGTTACCCCTATATATCGTTTTTAGTCAAGAAACTATGCTATTTATTCTTCTAGATCCCTTGACTTCCATTCCGGTATGCCAAACAACGTTCGACGCTCCTTTTATGGCCTAAATCCCAAATTTGTATGTATTAATAATGACCTGGTCCATGACGGCGATAATAGGAGTGAGCTTGAGTAAATGTTACAATCACGTGGCAAAGGATATGCTACAAGTGCACGCGACAAATGCAGAATAGCCAAGATCATATGAGGAAAGGACAAGTATTGTAATTGACTATCTACTTGCCCAAAACCTAGGACATGGCGATGACACTCATTTCCCCCAATGTGTCCTTTGTGAATTGTCCTCTACTATGAAGGCACGGTAAGTTGTCAAGTCGAGATGAACAGTCGGATGAGTTTAATTGACAAGATCCCTAACGGGAACTCATCTAACGCCAGCCCGAGAAGTACCTCAGAAGTGTAAGGGGGATTGTAGGAGTACGTCTAGGGACTACTAAGTCAAACTATGACAGTCCGCGACTTTGTGTGAGCTCCGTCTCTTTGATATATATTCTGACAATTTGGTGGAACATTCCCAAGAAGGTACGAAGCCTCCAAGATTGATAGTTGCGGCAGTCGTATCGACAAACGGGTGGAAATGGAGTGCCGTTGTCATAGGACGCCAAAATAAGGGGAACATCTCTCCGTCTTTCCCTCACACGTCCACGCGACGTCTATCCATCAGGACACAAAATCCGTCAACGAGAGACAGCAATCACCATCGAAAAAGGGGTCGGCGGGAAATAACAGCAAGGCTCATCGCGAAATAAAAACGAGTCGGCGGAAAAAGGATTCGATCAACAGCAGACCCTCGACTAGGAGACCAAAAAAGGCCATCAACTAGGATGGCAAGTGGACGAGATTTAGCCGCAGGCTCAAGCTTTCGCTCCGTGGTGAACCGTGTCTTTTCACCGACATCGACAACGCGCTACTTCGAGAGACTGTCGTGTCTCGACCGGAGGAAATCGGGTACAACTAAGGATGTGTGCCGTCAAGCGTAGACGGCGATAGGAGAAAGTGGTCGAGGCGTCGGAAGGCCTCATGCGAGGAAGCAGATCGACAATCCGAGAGCATCAAAAGATAACTCAACCGGTGTGTCAAGATCGTTCACATCTCACATGGGGCAAAAACCATCGCCCACCTCTCAAGACAAATAGAAACATGTCGATCGAGAGAGGGCGCCTGGTGGTGTGGACTGTTAACCGTGGTCAACGGGATGCAGCTTTACTGTCAGCATGAAAAGAGGAGGCATCAAAGACACCTTCAACTCCAATCATCCGCGCAAGGTGGGAGAGACCGCACCTTGGGGGGAGGCAGCGACATGCCCGATCTCTCGGGAGAAGAGGGAGGGAAGCTACGTGCGCAGTAAAGGCATGGAGGAGGAAAAGAGGAAAAAAAAGGGAAGAAATTACAATGGATGATCTGTTTGCTATATATTCTTGAGATGGGGGTGTGGCGCCATGCTAGGATAGGGGTGGTTGCTGGATCACGGATGACGGGATCAAGCTTGTTTGTGTTCCAAGATAATACGAAGCAACTCTAATTCCTATTGGCAACTCTAATTCTTATTGGGAGAACCTTGTATCACCTCAGCCACCTAGTTAGTAGTTACGTACCCAGATGTATCAGGTAGCAGTATCATTAAACCAGACCTCAACACTAACACGAGGAACTGCTTATTCGTTCTCGTTCCTGCTGATGAGATCGCGATAGATAGATATTTAATAGTTACTCCCACCTATTAAATACAACTGAAAAAAGGGGAAACAGGATAGATCAACGCAAGGATTCTCCCGTGTCACATTTAGCCGCTGCTCAACAAAGTATACGTCATTCCGCGTGGTGGGCTAACTATTCCATTTCGAGCATAAACCTGTTTTTTCTTGCCTTTCGAGTTTTCTAGCAGTAGTCACGCAGAACGAAAGCCTCTGCAACTACTGAACGTGCCTACATAATGACCACCTTGCCCCGCTTTGTGTGGCGCCCTAGTTACCTTTTCGGGAACAAGGTCGAATTTAAGAGGGTAAAGCCACAAGTCAATGACAGCATTCTCTAGTTACATTCCGCATCAAAGCTTTTTTATTTTCTTATTCTTACGCCGTATGTACTCCCTCAATGTTCCCAAGAGCTAAGAGCCCTACCGGAGCTTTTACACCGGACCACAATCGGGCCCAACATTAATAAAATTACCGCATGGACGAATCGAAAATGCTCATCTCCAAGGGAGAAGATGATCCCCTTATGGTTTCTAGATCACCATGACGGAACCTCAAGCGGGGCCACCCCTGCGACTGTCTACCGTGACGTCAGTTTCTTTTTATTTCTTTTATTTCTGTTAAATCCTAAACACCAAAGAACGGACCCTTCTCATGCATGACATGGTGAGATGAGATTAGCATCTCTACATACCTACCACTAACCACTAGTAAGTAAAACAGCAGGTATAGTACCAGTTATCACTGCCGGTAACCGAGCTATTATTATTTGTAGCCCGGCCTTTTGGAGCTCTGTAAGCTCTGTTCTGTTTTGAAGGCACGCTCTGAGGCAATGACCTCATTGGACCTTTCGTTTGTGACTCTATGACCTAACCTCACTCACTCTCTCTCTCTGTGGTCCTTTTCTCGGGAGCCCATCGAGGAAGGCGAAGGCGAAGTTTTTTTTCTGTAATGCTTGGCTGCGGGTATCCATAGGTCATTTCCACAATTGAAATATATCAAACACGTGTATTGTGTAGGTATGTATGTATGTATGTAGTATGACTTTGGTTGGTATATAAGTCCTCCCCCCTTCCGACTTGTAACTAAGTTCGCAACTCGAAACTTTGTATACAAGCATCCGTTACTCAAACAACAACAACAACAAACTTACCATATCATCGCATATATCTCTATTCTCTACGAGAATCAAATATACATCTACCACCCTAAAACAAAAACACCTCACCTCACATACCTACCCAAACCGTCAACATGGGTGCCGTAGTATCTTGCGTACGTTCTCCCCCCTTTTCCCTTTCCCCTTTCCTCTCCCAAGTCAAGTCAAGTCAAGCCCAGCCCAGCCCAGCCCAGCCTAGCGCAACGCCCCCTTTTTACAAGCCACAAACAAACAAACAAACAAACATCCCCAACTAACCCCCCATCCCAATAGGTCCAATCCATCTTCCGCACCATCGGCAACGTGATCATGGCCATCATCTCCGGCGTCGGCAACATCCTGCACGCCATCATCACCGGCATCGTCTCCTTCTTCGGCATCCTCGTCTCCTTCCTCACCTGCGGCTACTGCGGCGGCCGCTCCCGCGGCACCACTGGCCACTCCACCACCGGCAGACGGCGCTGGGGCCGACGCAGCCACGCCACCACTACCAGCCGCATCTAAGTTCTCAAGTTGTGATGCGCGCGCAGTTTGGGGTACTTGAGGTATCCGAGTTGTGGAGGTCGTGACAGTTGGAAGAGCGAGATGTTTTGCAACGATCATTAGATGATGCGAGGCTAGGCGATCATGTTTTAGGGAATACCCAGTTGCCACCACCTTTCTCACAGAGCAAAGCAAAGCAAAGTGAGAACGGGTGTGGAGCGGTTTGGAGAGTGGTTGGATGAAAAAAAAAAACCAAAACCATAACGAGGCTTTCGAGAGCCACGAAACAATTACGATACCCCTTTATTTTATTTATTTACTTTTCTCTTTGAGTCAATTAAGTAGTATTACGTACTTCATATCTTGTACTTGTGTGTGATGTTGAGCTTACAGACAATACGGGAACGAATTGAAATGATGAGATTTTCTTTTACGAGGCATCTCATATGTACACCTATGTAGATACGTAATTGCACAACCAGAGTGAAACATATGCCTATAATACTAGTTACAAATTGTATGTCGTGATATTATATTGCTCCATAACCCTATGAACATCTACACCGTGTCCAAGTGACCATCTTAATGTAATTATCGAGCCAAATCCTCATAAGTGTCCGTAGTTCAATCATCAAAAAAGTCAATCAAGCTGCGATTGAAGAACCCATGCACTTGTCTCGCAGCCTCTTTCCCAATATGCGGTGCGAGCTCCGCCTCACTCATATTAGCCACCTCGCGCACACTTTCCACCTCTAGAGTGATATTCTTCAAATTCTTGGGGGTAATACCAGGCACTACTCCCAGCATCTCGTGTGGCTCGAGGTTGAACGCCTGGTCCTCGGCCTTCATGTCCTTATCGAGACCCGCGCGGACTGCCGCCACGGGGTCAGGCTCGTCCTGCTGCGACTTCAATGCCTCGAAAATCTCGGCCGTCTGGTACGGGCTGCTGCTCCAGATGACCCTCAGCTTCGGAAATGCCAGCGTAAGCATCACAATCTTGGACTGCAAATCCGATGGCCCCTCATTAGGGTTGACTGATTTCAGATTGCCTGAAAGATCTGCGAAGGGTTCGAGCGTGAAAGATTTGTTCTGGTCGAACTCGATCAGGAGCATAGGATTCTTGTAGTGCTGGAACATCGTCTCTGCCTGATTATAGAGACGTCCATCTTTGAACGAGCTGATCAAATCGCTGACGGATTTACGTTCAACACAAATGGTAGGCGACAGAATGTAGTCGCCAACAGTCAACATGCATGGCACGATTACCATGTTGCGACCATGTAGCAAAGACGGAAGTGATGAGCGGAACTCCCGAACATCAACGACGACCCTGGGGGGTTGTGCTGTAGCTGCTAATCGGCCGCCACCAGCTATTCTGGTATTCACTGTCCTCAAGAATGCCTCCTGAGGGTCTTCGACACCATGAGAATCAACCGTCATCACGACAGACATGCTGGCGCGCTCTTTAATGAGCTTCGTAAACGCATCTTTCTCTCGCCGCACTGTAGCGAGATATCGTTGCTCTTCAACCGACCCGCCGTAGAACATAAAATAGACTCGGACATTTCTATCGTTATGTGAAGATCGATATACCTCAATCCGACGAATAAATGCGGCATCCGGCTCATACATGATGATATATCGAGGTTTGATCTCTTCGAGAACGTGCTCGTCTTGGTCGCCTTCGTAAGCATGCACCACGACTAGATCCTGCATCTCATAGAGCTCAAAATAGTCATCCATATCCTCTAAAGGATCGGCTGTGATGTCTGGCTTCAACTTTGCTTCCTCTTCTGTAATTTGCATCTCATCCATGAGATCGGCAACTTCGTGAGGTTTCTCAAAGTATTGTGCCACGCTTCCGTTCGCAGCCCTGCTAGGAGCTACACCCACAGAACCGCCTCCACGTATTCGACGCCTCTTATTTGCTGGTGTTCTCCCTTTGTATGCACCTTGAGCAATTCGAGGGTCTACCGCACCCTCGAGAGCCTTCTGATTTTCGGCAAATAGCGCATTGCTAACTTGCGCGAACTCTTTCTTCCAACTGAGGTAGCCTCGAAGCCTCCGTCTCATCATAAAAGCCCCAGACGGCTTGTGCTCCTCATTTTTCTGCTTCGTGTCATTTTCAGTCTTTGGTTCCACGTGCATTGTTTGCAAATAGTCTCGGAGTTGACGGGTTGTTGCTGTATCGGAACACATAATAAGGATGGTTCCACTAGAATCATCTCTCATCGGAGGATCGAAATACAGATCCCTATCAATCTCTTCTAGAATCTCCGCGAGGAGAGACCATTTTGGCTGTTCTTCAAGGACAGGACGAAGCGAGTCGATGGAAGACTTAGCATCGGCCTTAGCGTTGCTAGCATACACCCTTCGCTTGGCAGTATCGAAGATAGTATGTGCAGCATCAAGAAACAACCATGGAGATTGACTTTGCCTCGTTGATCCTGGCTGGGGAGAATGCGCGGCATGAATAGTGTCTAGATGCTGCAAAAAGGACACGCAATCGAGAGCTAGCACTGAATGTAGTAATCCACGGAGGACCGATAGGTCACTAACAATCTGCTTCGTTTTCCAGCTCACTCTGTGCCAATTGGGATCTAGTTGGCGCCTCACTATGACATCAAAATTCTTTAGTAAGGCACTGTCGAGATTCCAGTCGTCCATTTCCAGGCCAGTGTTACCCTTTTTGAGTTCATGAATGCTAACCTCAACACACTCCATGATAGCTGTTTGGATATCCGTCATAGCATCTGACATGGGAACTTCGAGTTCAATGACCTCTGCCTTCTTCTTACCCTCGAGAGAGCTGGCAACCGTCACGTGAAATCGAGGCCACAGGGAAGCCTTTCGGAGGAATAAATTCCTCATTATGGTAGCCAACGGAGAGAAACCAACTGTGAAGGGATCTGGGTTATCAGAGAATGCCTTCAAGAAACCATTCTTGTTCTTTTGACGATATACTCGAAGGATGAAAGCCTCAAGGGATGTAGCTATCACTTTGTCCGCATGTAAAACGATTATACCGGTAATGGTCTCCGGATTAAGTAGGGTTGTCAAAAGATCGACGACCAAGATTCGAGATGTAATACTGTATATTCCACCCTTTGTGTACATCTTCTCTCTGGCTGCGACACTGGTGAAATCCGTGTTCACGACGGTCAGACCTCTGGCTTTGGGAGCCATGCTGACTGCGGCAGACTCAGCAAGAGCCTCCCCAATCCAGGCATTTTCCCTATCTTCGGCGCCCACGACTATCACCAAGTTATTTCCAGCGGCATCGTAACTGTGCAGCAGGTTGGTCACAAGGCGTATGAGGCCGAGGCCCTTGGCGATGACGACAAGTTCATCTTCGGCTCGGAGCTCTTGGAAGAGGTGTTGCTGGTATTCCTAAGTGATGGCGTTAGACATACTTGTAGAAATACCACGGTGGTAGGAACTAAGAGTCTCGTACGAGAGGTAGTGAGAGTTTCACCGGTTGCGGAGCATTGCTTGTAGACATGCGGGGCACGTCGTTGTTATGTAAAGCAGAGGAGGGCGACGAAGGGGTGTCAAGGGTCTTCGTGCATGTTTTTGGTTACAGTACTGTGTATCCTCCCAGTCACATGTGTGTTGTATGTGAGGTAGGTGCACTGTCGGAACCGCCTGATATACGTAAGTGTCTACGTATCCTGCGTGCCTACCTACTGTTTAGTAGGTACTATGTATGTATGCAGAGTGAGAAAGTGCCATTGATTGGAGTTTTGGTTCGAAGCTAAACGCTAAACACAGCCCTGGAGATTGGAGTCATTGGTAATTAAGGTTAAGGTAGTAGGCAGCCACGCTTGCAAATCCGGGGCCTGCAAATCACTTGCCGCCACTCTAACGCCGGGTCACGGGCAATTGTGGGCCACTCAGTTCTAGAAGGTCAGATACGTCATCACCTGATGGATAAGTGTGTTACACCTACTATGCAAGTATGTACATGTAGGACCAAGGAACAATCGTATAAGAAGCAGCAGGTGTCGAGACATTGAGAAGTTAATTTGTATTTCTAGTTATCTTTCTTATATACACTTCATTAGTCTGCAACATAAAAAATATATCGAATTCAAGTCACATTATCAAAACACCACAACACCTTAGACTATCAATATGCCCGAGACCTACCCTTCCGCTCAGGTATGGAACCTAATCACTTCACCTAGAAAATGAACATGAACTAAGATCAGTAGACTGGCAAAATTGACGCCGACTCGCAGCCGAACCCGCCTAGCGAGGCAGCTCAGCCTCAGGGCGCAAAACTCTTCGCCGCTCACAAGGCCACACCAGGTCCTGTCATTCCCCAGAGCATGCCTGAACAGGAAGGGACTAAAGAAGAGCGTCAGGCTAAAGCTCAAGAGCTGAACAAGAACAAATAAAGCTGAGCGTGGATCTATGAGATGGCTTCAACTACAGCTGAGAATGAAGTTGTAGCTTACTAGAATGGAATGGGTTCACGAGGGGACATGGAAGTTTTAAGGCTTCCGGTTGTGTATCTTAAGTGTAATGATAAATGATTGTTATGGATGCCAAATAGTTATCCGTATTATGATAAAAGTAATCGATACTGTACTACTAGTGATTTGGCTCAGCAGCGTACGAGATGACTGACAAGATGACGCACGCAGCGATTTGTAGTGGAATTTGTAAATCTTCTGACATGCATGTATTTAGGCTCCTAGGCTTCGATTTTGTCATAAGACGCATCGTATTGTCACCGAGTCTTTGAACAGATTGACCGCTGTCTTGCGAATACATGCATAATTTTGGATGCCAGGTAGGTAGGTAGGTAGATACATAAAATTACGATGCGCAAATGAACAAATGATACCTAAGTACTAGGTAACATTGAACATTGAACTTCAATGTTTGAACTGTTTGAACTAATACCCATTGTGGGGCGTCCCGACGGAGTGGGAAACGGATGGCTAAAACGGAAGAGTACATGGATACTAGCCACAGTTGGAAAGTTTAACGCTCCAAGTTGCTTACTATGTTCATCGTTCCTTATGAATCTACTTGAATATTTTTTGAAGAAAAAGGAAGAAAAGAAAAAAGAAAAAAGAAACATCTTATCTACCCTAGGTAGGTATCTAGTACTATCTACATGTTACATGTCTAGTAGCAAGAGTTTATTGAAAGTTTGTCCGGTTGTTTCATTGTAAATCATATTCAGTGACACGAAAAGTGGCGGTACGTATCGCATTATCAACTTGAATTAAAGTAAAATAAATGAATGTAACCGAGATTTCTCCTAGGCGGGATTAGGTGGATCCGAGTGCTAAAGGTTTCGACAAATGGCTATCTCGTTAGCAATTGGCAAGCCCCAACCAACCCAGCCGCTCCTTGGCACAGCAAACTTGCGTAACCGCCAATCGACCGTCATCCTTTTACCATTAACTCACTTAACTGACTAACTTTACAACTTTAGAACGTTTGTCAGTGATTCAGGTGCAACAACTGCGAATAGCCGCCTGCCTCTTTTACACTTTCAGGTTATTACATTTACCACATTTTACTATCCTACCACTTCCATATTCCCTCCCTTACTTCTCCACCACGCTATACGGGTAGTTAGTCGGCTAAGACATTTCCAAACAACTTACCATAGTTAAATGTCGTCTGGATTATATTCACGTTATTCAATGGTCACTTGATAGGTAGTATCTTCTTAGTTACCTAGTAGTTAACGTGGTCACATTAGGCTGGAGATACCGACCGACTTCTCTACTCTGCCTACCCTTTCCGAGCATTCTATATCACCATACGGCAACTACCACCGCCTTCAACATGCCGTCCATACTTAGCGACGAAGATAAGGAGACCGTTCGGCGAGTGGTACCAAAACAAACCAACAAGATCCATGCCGTAGCCGTTGCGAGATTATACGTCGCATACCCGCATCCTTCAAAATGGACCTACACCGGCCTACAAGGCGCTATCGTACTTTGCAACGACTTGGTAGGGAACACATACTGGCTAAAACTCGTTGATGTATCGGTGAGTTATTATCACTATATCCCAAGCGCTCTGGCTTCTAACGGTTCGTAGTCCGCTGGTCGAGGTGTGATATGGGACCAGGAAATATTTGAGAATTGGTCCTATAACCAGGATCGAACATTTTTCCATACCTTCGAGCTCGAAGACTGCTTAGCTGGCCTATCCTTCGTTGACGAAAAGGAGGCCAGACAATTTAAAAAGAAGATGGACGACCGAGAAAAGAATGCGTCCAAGGCTACTAGAAATATGCCCTTTGGTGGCTCGTCGCAACAACCAGTCAAGGCGGGCTTCTTCGGGAGTATATTTGGAGGACATAGGCACTCTTCTGCTCCTACGCCGCCCGATTCACCACAACACAGTACTCCGCCTGCCCATGCTCTTACCAGACACTCAACAGGAAATGCCAATGGACACCACAAACCAACATCTAAGTTTGCCAAACTAGAGGCGTATGATCCGGATTGGCGAGACAACTTTGGCAACTTTCTTTCGGATCAAGGCCTGACGGATGAATTCATTAGAGAAAATCAGGATTTCATTGTTGAATTCTTAAAGCAGAGCGGTGGAGGATCTGGGAACGGAAGCTCGTCAACGCCAGCACCACCACCCCCTCCACCACCTCCAGCCCATGGTTCAGGATCCAATGGTTATAGTAGTCACAGTCATAGTCACGGTCGAGCTCCGCCTCCTCCTCCGCCTCCCCCCTCCGGAAGTGCACGTTCGACATCGGAAAGCCTGCACTCGTCGTCCTCCCGTCGTGGCGCTCCTCCACCCCCACCTGCACCTCGTAGGTCCGGCAAAATCGAACTGGTGCATAGGGAACCGACACCGCCACACGAACCGGTGCCACCGCGACCGCGATTCAACGCTCCTCCACCGTTAGAAAGTGCTGGCAAATTTGCTCATTCCGAACCCGCCTCTAGAGCCCCTCCTGGGCCAGCGCCTCCCCCAAGACCGCCAAAAACGCCCATGGAAGAACAAGAGGAAAAACCTACCGGTCATAAATTCAGCGTGCCCCCCGTCTTTACTGGCCATAGAATGAACAACGCACCTCCGCCAGCACCACCTAGAGGACCGGTGCCTCCCCCGCCGCCGCGTGAGCAACCTCAAGCAACACCTCCGCCACTCCCACCAAGTCTTCCACCTAAGTTACCGAGCTCGAGCGCACCAGCAGTACCAACAGCACCACCGCCGCCACCAGTTTCTGCGCCTCGGCCCGTTCCCGTACCTCCTCGGAACATACCTGTTCCTCCGGCTCCAGCTCCTCCAGCTCCTCCAGGACCGCCACCGCTCCCGGCCTCAAGTGCGCCAGCTCCACCTCCTTTGCCTCAATCTTCTGCACCCCCACCACCTCCGCCGTTACCCGGAGTCGGCGCACCACCACCACCACCCCCGCCACCGCCTCCACCCGCCGGTGCAGGAATCCCACCCCCTCCTCCGCCTCCACCTCCGCCAGGTGCTGGGATACCAGGCGCACCTCCACTCCCACCTCCGAACCGCGACTCCGGCTATTCATCGGGAGTCCCGGCTCCGGCTATACCCCCCATCGATTCTGGCCGTTCTGCCATGCTGGATGGTATTCAGAAAGCTGGTGGTATTGGAGCTCTCAAGAAGGTGGACAGGAGTCAAATTCGAGACAGAAGTGCGGCCACAGTAGGAGGTGGGCCGGATACAGGACCACATGGTAGTGGACTGCCGCCCGCAGGAATTGCCCCTGGAGGAGGCGGCGGCATGGCTGATGCGCTAGCTGCTGCCCTGCAGAAACGGAAGGAAAGAGTTCGTGATAGTGGTAAGTTTCGCTTGATCCTAGGCTTGGGGATGTTGGTGTCATTGCTAACTTTTTCAAAGATGACGAAAAGAGTGATGATGAGTGGTAGAGCCACAGTCGTAAAGCCTTCACAAATGATGCCAAATCGGCAAAGGGCAAGAACGGATAGAGGAAACAAATTACTACGGCTCACGACTACGATGGATAGGAAAGACATCCTTTCTTGCATACCAGGCTTCCATCGGACACAGATTCAATAGATGGAGAGGTGTCTAGGCATGCATCAGAGACCCCACCGATAAGACCATGTCTAACAGACTATGTGAAGATTTGAATTCAATCGATCATACCCTTCCTTTTCAAGCAAAGTCTTTGGAAAACAATCAACTAGTATATATCCCATGTATCACCAAAGCTCAAATGCGCAAGCTGGTCACATATCGGCTAGCATTGGCGGCTCCAGTCAGGTCGGTAGTGCATCTAGTACGGAAAGTTGTATGAGGAAGAGGAATAGATAGGAAGAGCGTCGAGGAAAGTAAACTTGTCAAGCGTAAGTGTAGAGAACCGAGGGTTGGAATGCTATGTGAGAGAGCACCGGATATTGGTAAGGGGGGAATTGTTATTGTGTCTAGTTGGTTGGTTGGTTGGCTGTTCAGGGTTTGCTCATACAAGATGCAGAATGAAGGATTCGTATCGTATCGACTAACCCACCTACGTACTTATTTATCTAGAAATACATCCAATATCAAGTGGATGGTGAAAGACATCACAAGAGATTTATTTACCCATTACCTAGGTAACCTTGGCTCATCGGTTGGTTCTGTAGGTTTTATTATTACAGGTTGTATAAGAGAGGAAGAGAGAGGAAGAGAGAGGAAGAGAGAGAGGGAGAGAGGAAGAGAGAGAGGGAGAGAGGGAGAGGGAGCGGATAAGAGCGAGAAAAGACAAGACAAGACAGAACAGCGCAGGGTAGAACAGGATAGGACACAATTAGATACATACATACATAGTATGTTCCCACCCAGGTGTATTATATACCTGGAGGCTTTTTTTCTTTCAATGTTCATTTTTTTTTCAACAATTCAGGAGTTGCTTTTTTTTTTTTTTTTTTTTTTTTTTTTTTTTTTTTTGGAAATAGAAATAGCTGAAGTAGAGCAGAGCAGAGCAGAGCAATTAATTACCTTGGTAGCAAATCAATCAATTATGGATTCTTATTAATCTTGTGTACGGAAAAGACTTTGGAATAATTCGGTGTCTACCTACGTAAGCTACATAGGAGTTATCTATGGATCCGTTATGGATGTGAATATGTTGGTCATGTGAAGAGGTATCTAGGTAAGTTGAGAAAAGAAGACATGGTATTATTGAGAGACCCAGTTGGGTAAGCGAGTTTTGTCTGTCTACTATCTGGAGAAGGTATGTACAGTATGGCCAAAGTCCCTCGCCACGGGGTTGTCATTAGTTGGGATGGGTATCTGTCAATCTTGCCGTGCTTTTTTTTTCTCCAAAACCACCACTTCCATCTTTCTTCTTTATTCCATTTTGACTTCCTTAGGTCATGCCAAAGAAAAAGCAAGGTCACGAGAATCCGAGAATTGGTAAAAAGGGGGAGGGAGGAAATAACGGTGACGGAAGAAAGGTCATCGTTAACTATCGAGTAGAATTGCCAAACGACAAGGGGCTAATGACGTCTCTCCCACCATATATACCCTGTCGTTTTGCCTTGCTAGAACTGCTTCGCCCGACTGTCGCGGAACCCAGATCATGGGGTGATGAATTCGTAAAGACGAGGAGATCTGAGTTTGAGAGAGAAGACAGACATTTCCCCCTGGTCTAAAAGTCTATCACCACAGTATACACCTAGTAAAATTATAGGCATTTGTGAATGTGATATGACCAGGAGACCTAGGTGGGTGGCAGTTCCATAGAAGAGTAATTTAAATATCGTCGATATCGACATCCTTGCCACCGGCGTTGGCACCTTCGGTTTCGGACTCGGAGTCGCGGTCCTCGTCGAACTCGAAGCCACACTCGCCCTCGTCGTTGGGGCCGTAGGTATCGGTCTCATTGATCTTGGCGCTCTCGGGCAACTCGCCATAGGCCTTGAGGGACCGGGCCTCGTCGGCCGAGTACTTGAGGATGACGTCGCCCTTCTCGTCTTGATAGTCACGAAGACTGAGTAGGATGATATCGCCGTTGTTGATCCAGACCTTCTTTCGCAGCTTGCCGCGAATATGGGCCAGTCGCTTGGCGCCGTCGAAGCACTGTGCTTCTAAACGACCGTTTCCGAGCATTTTGACTACTTGGGCATATTCTGTGTGTCATGGTATTAGTATCTTATTCACTTTGGTCGGGCAGAATGGAATTGAGGTAATAAGGTACCTTGTCCTTCTTCCTTGAAGGTCAACTCGCGCTTCTCATTGTCGTTCTCGTTCTTTCCACGACGACGATTCTTACCACCCTGTTTGATAGAAGTGTTAGCACATCTGTAGTTGAAGATGGTAAAAAGTGTGATGATGAAGGTAGAGGTAGATATTCGTAGATTGCTAGTCAAACGAGTAGCCTGGTTTCCAGTCTGATATCTCAACTCAAATGAATGATATAGTAAGACTATGAATAACCCATCTATGAAACCAAATTCAAAGATGTCTAGCCGCAGACTCAGTCATCGGTGATCGTTATCCTTGGGCTGGCTAAGCTGACGAACCCATCATACACAAATGATAAAAGAACAAAAGGAGATAATGAACTGAATAGCGAAATAGCGAAATAGCGGGGTTAGAATTGCACACGTACTTTTCCCTTATTCTTAGGCATGTTGACGGTAGACTAGATTTTTCTTTTTGTAGCGATTAGATTAAAATCGATAATAATTTGGTTGATTTATGTCAGCGATCGTTGTCGCGAAATGTTGTTGTTGAGAAGAATGTGGTAGTGGGTTGTATGTTATTAATGTAGTTTATGGTTTTTAGAGTGGGAAAATAAATAGTATGTTGGTGACGAGGGGCATTTAAGGCCTTGAACAGAATGTCTCTTATTCGTCCTTCAACATGTGGATACTTTATACTAAATATTCAAAAATACATTAAAAACAACCCTTAACCGAAAAGAGAACGATTCTCTTGTACAGATCTTTAATTTAGGTCAAAGACTAAACTGAAAAAGGTTTAAAGTCTTAGTTATATAAAATCGACCTCTTTTACTTACACTAGGCGTGAGTAATGGTGGGGGCAGTGCTTAGCCCTTTTTTCTTCTTTTTCTTTCTGTCCTTTCTGAGATGGCCAAGTGACGGTTAGTGGGACAAACTGCTGACATAAGCCCCAAAGTACAACTTGTACAATGTACCGTGGTGTAACTTCGAATTAACTTATTAAACAGTAAAAATTATACACATGCACGATGTATCAGAAGAAACAGAAAAACAAACCAGAGTAAACATACATACGAACATCGCCATCGAAGTACGCAACCAATTTCAGAAATTTCGCCACAGCTTATAAGAGTCAACGCAATCCCGAAAAGTTATGCATGCGTATCGATAACACACTTTTCTGATCATCTCTGTTGGTCCACTCACCCACCCAAAACTATGAGTTGCCATCGAGCGCACAGAGACTTGTCTAGGTAGCATGATGACAAACTCCCTCTTCAGCCGGCCCCTAAGAGTATCACACTCTTTGCACCGAGCTCTTGAACTTCGGCGTTGTATGGGTACCCAATATCAGCCAAGGACAAACGCCACATCCGGTTCATACCTCGACAAAAACGAATTCAACAGGTTGTTTGTCGAGGGCGGCGCAGTAGAGGTTCAACCGGGTGATCATGTCTTAGCTGCATGTCGGGAGCATAAGATCTATCTTCCTACTACCTTACGTCGGTCTAAAGAGAAAAAGGGGCTGAAAGACTTCATGATATTCACGTCAGAGCGTCATTGTTTCGACCAACAGGTGATGAAGTACCTGGACAAATTCGAGCATCCGTTTGCAAAATCCATCATCAACATGTGCGTTGATAAAAACCATGAGCCTCTGTGGTACAAGACTTTTACTCTACCTGTAGCCTCGCCATTCCCTTGTGGAACAGCCACCAGGAAGATGCGACATGCGCTGCGCGATGCATTAGCTGCTGCGGGATATGATCGAGTGGGGAGGAAGATATCACCACCAACCGACCCGAATGGCATTGCAGAGTTATACGGAACGTTGAGGGTAGGGATCTCGGACCCAAAAGGCTTCTGCAATTTGAAGTTTGTAGATATGTTGGCAAAGGCCAAACTAATCATATCCGAGTTTGAACCAATATTCGCAAGGGACAAATTTGGCAGGCATATCAATATGGTGCCGAAGCCATCTCCGCTGACTCGAAGGCCGAGTTACAATAAGAATACGAATACCAATAGTATCTTCAATACTACTAGGAATAACAACAGCAATAACAACAACAACAACAACAACAACAACAGAAATAGCAATAGCAAGCCAGGTCTTGTTAGATGGTTTTAGAAATACATAAACCTTATACATACTAATACATTGTATATCTTGACGTAGATCACGTACTCTTAAATACTACACATGTACATAGGTATGGTATTACCAAAGTATAAAGTACAACATTGAAAGTATTGGCGGGGTGTTGAAACTTTCCTCTTACATAATGCAAAATTGAAGTGGTACAGACCATACAAGTACATGTAAGAGATGAATTGTGACACAAGGATAGTTAGCTAACCTAGTAATTTCCTGAGACGCGCAACTGTCGCCCTAAAATTAGGTACTACCAGGTACGGTACGTACTATGTAACCATAATAGTGTCTTTTTTAGATCCGATTCGATATCCATTATTTTGTATCTCAACCATGAACAACTTCATAATCTTCATAAACGAATAATTAATACCCATTCTACTTCAAAATACGGATCATTCATTCTCTCGCTACTCGTTGACCATGTTAGTCTCTCTCACCGTCGGTAAAGTCGATGCCGGCGTCACTGTCTTGTTAACCCCCGATAAACGTTTGGTATGTTGCAAACCACCAGCTCCTTATTCTCGTCATTTCCCTCCTCCGAGTCCTTTTTTGAGTATCACCAAGGCGCTATCTGTTTCCCGCTGTCGCAATCCATCGCAAAAGCTCAAGAAGTATTTTCTGGGCCTTTTGATTCCTAATTGGCCATTAACGCTAAAGAAGAAGTCTAACTGAACCATCTAGATCGAGTTCCCTTCCATTCTCCTACCTCCGAACATCATTTCAGGTTCCATAGTCGATATCGCTGTCTCTCGCAACAGCGAATCTGAGGCCAAGTCAGAAGCCAAATTCACTGCCCTTCAAGACCAGATCTATGCTTCCTTCGGCGCTTCCCAGCCTAGCACACCTGTCCTTCGTTGCCGCAATGCCACTCAAACATCCGTGGTCCTCGAATGGGACCCCATCGACCTAGCTACCGCCGACCTTATCTCCCTATCCCTCTACCGTAATGGCCAGAAAGCCGGCAATATCCCCCGACCCTTACAGATGCACAGCACCAAGATCAGTGGTCTTGCAGTTGATACGGAATACACCTTCCATCTCGTCCTGCGCACTACCGCCGGTACCTTTGCCAGCAAGCAGGTCGTTGTCCGCACCCATAAGATGACAGATCTAAGTGGCATCACCATTACCACCGGTATCCTACCAGCGCATACGCGCGAGGAGCTCACCAGAGCCGTTGAGCGCATTGGTGCTAAGATTGTCGACGGCGTGCGCATCGATACCACGCACTTCGTCACTACCGAAGGTCGTGGTGTACCCTGGGAGAAGGCTGTGGAGATGAACATTCCCGTTGTGCGACCGGAGTGGGTCGAACACTGCGAGAGCACTGGCAGGATCTTGGGCGTCACAAGATTCTATCTAGATGCACAAAGACCTGGCCCTCCGGGACCAAACGACACGTCGTCGGTGGCCTCGCCTTCAACTCCCGCAACGACAAGGCAGATCCAGAAGGATCTCCCTCAGACGCCAGCCAAGAATGAAGGGAATAAAGAAACAGAAAGGGAAGAGGAGGAGAAGAGAGAGACTAAAGAAGAAAGTAGCGAAGAGGAGAACGGAACGGAGGCAGAAAACGAAGACAAGACGAGGGCTGCAGAAGAACAGAAAGCAAGACGCGAGGATAAGGACACACAGGAAGTCGCTATACGGCCTGGTAAACCTCTAAAGGCTACGATTGAGAATGTCAGAGATGAGAATAGTTTAGACGAGAAGGCGGCTGCCCCATCTCCTGGGGACGGGGCATCGTTTCAGGACGTGGCGTTGTGAGGATAGTAGTGTACGGCTTGACATGTGTAAGCGCATGGAGTTCTCGGGAGTTCCAAAATGAAAAAAAAAATACCCCCGGCCACGTAATGATGATGATGACTTATTGTCATCTCCAAACTAATTAATTAGGTATACAGCTGTACAGTAGAGTTATTGTATGCGTCTATTGATCTATGCTGACCTTTAAAGGTTGATCTGGATGGAACTGATCTCACCATGGGACATGGGGAGAATTGTCATTCGATGTGTATCTGGGCGGTGAGTAAAGCCTCCGTTGCCTGGATCGTATGTCGATTTCCCCCTTTCTTTCCTATCCGAGTGGCTAGGGTTGATTTCCTCGTCTTCCAAACGTTGTTCTACATAACAGACATCCCTACAAAATAGGTCAGGATTAGAGAAAATTGTGTTCTATTATGAACACAACCAACCATAGCCCCAAAAATCCCCCCCCCCAACCCACACAAGCTCAAGGCAAAACCTCCTCCCCCTTCCAATCCCAGCACCTCCCCCTATCCCCCTCACCCTCCTTCCCTCCACCCCCCCTCCTCCTCACAACCTCCACCATCCTCTCGACCGCAAACTCCGCACTAAACAACTTATCACTACCCACCCTCTCCCAGAACGCCTCGCTGAGCCCCGTGCGGACGGTGCCGGGGTGATACGCGATGGCGGCGGCGTTGGCGCCGGAGCGGGAGCGCAGGTGGTGGTCGAAGGTGCGCGTGAGGCTGACGACGGCGCTCTTGGAGGCGCGGTACGTGAACCACCCGCCGAGGCGATTGTCGGAGGTCGAGCCGACGCGCGCGGAGGCGGTGAGCCAGGTTGCGGTGGTGTTTTCCGCGTCCGCCCCTTCCCCTCCTGCATCACCGTGCGATGACGATGACGATGGCGAAGAGGTTGGCGGCGGCGGCGGCGAGAACACCTCCCCCCACCCTGCTACCCGCGTCCCCCGCCGCGGCAGGAACTCCCCAAACCACTTCATCAGCATCAGGGGCCCCAGTGTATTTGTTTGCAGCATCGCGAGCGCCGCGTCGTGGTCCACGTCGCGCGGGCTCTTCTCCGGGCGCAGAATCCCCGGCAGCGCGAAGGCGAGGCGCAGGTGGTGCGTTGAGGGGGGGAAGAGACGGGCTGCGGTGGCGGAGGCGGCGGAGATGGTGGGCTCGGAGGTTACGTCGAGGGGGAGGAGGTGGAGGCGGGTGGATGCGTCTTTGTTTTGGGAATGGGAATGGGAAGGGGGTGGGGGGGATGGGAATAAGGAATCCAAGAGCGATGCCCGGACGCCCGGGAGATCGGTCCGCGCCGTGGCTAGGATGGGGGCGGTGGTCGTCCGGAGCAGGTGGCGGGTTAGCGCGTGCCCGATTCCACGGCTGGCTGGGGAGACTAGGATCCAGGGTTTGGACATGTTTATATATATATATATAAATCTCTGCTTTATTCAAATCTAGTTTTCTATCAGGATGGGTTGGTGCGGACTGTAGGCAGGTAAAATAGGGTGTAGAGCGTTTCCCTAAATGTGCCAGACCCCTGACGTTAATGATTCATCACTGCTGCTTATCCGAGAATAACTGCTTGTTTGAGATTGGTTTTCAACCAAAGGATGCTACAGGCTTTTATAAATTTAACAAATTTTTATTTATTTATTTCAATGTCGTTTGTTTGTAGAGAGCATTTACATAGTATCAACCAACCTGCTTGTAGCATGAACAGGAGCGAGGCTAGAAGATGTGAAAACAAGGTACAGGATTTCACTTATCTTTATGCTAAGCACCCTCTTAAGTTGATGAAGCTAGTTTAGTAGAGGTGAAGCAGTGGTTTTCCAAGAACCGCACGATATAGAGCGAGCAATTATATCAAGGACTCTTTGAAATATAGGTAAAATGGATCTTTGGCAGCGAGTTAGCCATGCGTAGATACGTACGTAGGGAGGTAATCTACCAGTACCCAAGTACCTAGTAACTGACAGAAAAGTCGAATTAGTATAATACCCAGGATTCATATGATACTTGTGAGCAATTGTTAGCTTTAGTATAAAATAGGGAAAGCTCTCAGCTCTCAGCTCTCGAATCCCTTGAGTGTTTACCTTGAGTGTTTACCCAATGATCAATAAACCCCAGAAGTGGCTTGAATAGCGTCCATCTTGTCTAGCAAGGGAGTCAACAAGGGATATTTTAATAACTACCAGGTGCTTCCGTAAGTCGATCATCCGTCTAATGCCCGACATGAAATTGGCATCCCTTTCGAGGGACGTTCTTCATTGTTGAGGCCGAGGAAGATGAGAATACGTGCTTGCCCTATCTAGGTAGGTACATATCTTGCCGCGTTTCCTCCTCACATCAAAATATTAAACTTCGTCTAATCTACGCAGCTATCCACAATTCGAACGCTGATAAACTCAATTATGTTTTACTTATATTCGTAGCTCCATCACGAGCTTGTCAGTTGAAACCTTACCGGCGAACACCATGCCTGAAATGGATAGGTATAACGACATTGAGTTTCTCAGCCAGGTCGTTGAACTTTACCGTTGACATATCCCTGGGTATTGTTATCTATTATCTACATATATTTGCTCGTATTGACATGGCTTGGGCTTGCGTTTACATACATACGTGTCTACCTACCGGCCTTCTTTAACCGTTGTTGTTATTGCTGTTATCCTCCAAGCATAGAGGATGCTCGTTTATAACACGTTTGAAGTTGTCTTGTCACGTTGCCATGTTCGTCTTGTCAAAATTCACATTTATAGATTCTAAAGGAACTCTTCATCGGTGTAGGTAGTCAGACTTATACCCATCTTTGGTACCCTTGGTCATGTCACGGAAATCCACTGCGGGAGGTGGTGAAGTAAAGGTGGCGTACGTTGTCACTTTTTCCCACATCGGGAAGATAGCGTCGCTTGAAAGGAAATAGAGTTTCTATCTTTCTGCAGTGTCCGTCCCAGAATTTCTCTCAATTCTTTTCTATTTTTATTTCTTAATTTTTTAATATGGAGAGTGTGTTCTTGGACTCGTTCAACCTAGGTGTTTTGGTGGAAAAGGAAATCGTGGTACACACAACCGACAACATAGATGGAGATACCACAATCTTTTGCCATCCGTCTGTCGTATCCATCATTCAATCCAAGTCCAATCTCAGGAGGGAACCAGGAACATCTGGACTGTTGGAAACCACCTTATCTCCCTCACCTCACAAAATGTCTGGCCCCGACATAAGTGAGAATCATCAGGAGACTCTTGTCGACTTCCTCCGCAGCCACTCTCCTCTTCCTCACAATATTACGCCGGCCCCCGACAACTTGACCAATACTCCAGTCGATAAGAAATGGAGTATACTCAAAGTCTTCCGTAAAAGGCGGAAGCGCCGAGAGCGACAATCAACGCCCACCAAACTTCCAGAACATACCGTGTCTACCAGAACTAACAGTGGCAATAATTACATCGCCATATCCATCCCACCAGAACTGGCAGACACAGAACATCCTGATCCGCCTCCACCTCCTCAACTCCCCCCCTTTGTCTCGGAGACAGTAGAAGATGAAAGTCAGGACCCAGAGTTATTAGGAGCATATGGCATGACGTCTCACGAAGGCATGAAGAATCTAAAGTCCGTCACCGAAGAAGCAGACACCGAATCTTTATCCACCTCCTCCCTCGCACCAAGACCATTAACTCACGTAGAAGAGGCGACATGGCTAGAACCTCCTCCACGAGCATCGACCCTACGTCCTACGACTCTGTCCCAGGAAGAAAGCCTGCCCACAAAAGGAAAAGAACCGGACCTACGAAGCGATATAGGCACCGGCTCCCCTAAATACCGCCTGAGTCCCTTAGGATCTATTCGGTCGTCTGAAGCTGCGGAACGGAAACCTAGGTCTCTGACCCGCGGCCACCAGACACAGCAAGGTAAAGGTGAAGACGAGCATCTAAAAGCCACGGATTCGCCAGTAGCAACCGACCCATCCCCCCTTAACGTGGCAGAAACCTCGCCCCCAAAACGAGCGGCGGAGCAAGCCCAACCCAATCAACTAACTCCCGTTCAAACCGAGCAACCCACCAGCGACAGTCTCGTCGCGGCAAAGGACGACGATGACTTGCCCTCCAAAAAACTTAAAAAGTCCAGGAAAGACACTGGCCCCCCTCGCGTGCTCGTAGTAAGCCCACCAGCAGCCCCTATCACGCCACCCATTCGCACATCCAGCAAACGGGCCAAGACGAGCGTATCAGAGCGCGCCGAAAGACAACACAGGAACGCCACCGCCGGTGGCGGGGAGCGACCAGCCTCGCCCAGCAGAGGCGGCATCTGTAGTAACGACGTCATTGAGCGCCGGGGTCTGACGAGCGGTCCGCGGGGCTCCTTTGCTGAGAGCCTGGTGACGACAGCGTCCTCACCGCGAGTGTTGAAGGCGCAGACGGCGACGGCGTACCAGTCCGTGCCTATTGTGGTGCGCCCCCCTTCGCGGCTGGATCTCGAGTCACCTTTGAACCTCAATTTTCCCAACCCACCCGCGGCGGCGGACACCACAGGCCGTTCGGCCGAAGCGGATCTCCTGTCGCTTGCCCCTCCTCCACCTCCCCATCCAGCGAGCGAGACGACGCTGAACCGAAGGGACCGGGTGCGCGAGCGCAAGCAACGAGATATAGAGAAGCTACGAGACCAGCTGCAGCAGCTCCGGTCCGCATCCTCACACCCCCGTCGATCAAAGGACACGACAGACCGGAGACTTCGGCTCGAATCCTCCTCCGCCATCCTCCTCGACCGCTACCTCAATGCCTCTCCCCACTCACGACGGTATCTGGCGGGGAAGCTGTCGGACCTCGGGCCCTTGAGATCCCTGATCGAGTTGAAGCCGCCGTACCTAGCACCCGAAGACAACGCATCGTTGGGGAAGAAAAGTCAGCGAAGAAGTGTTAGCGCGCCTATATTGACTAGTTCCTCGTCGGCATCGCCGGTGGAATCCCCGATGATGCCTTCTCGCGAGGGGGGCACGTCGGCGAATTACCGCCGCAACAAAGAACGGCAAGGACAAGAAGAAGACATCACGGCAGCGTCGAGACGAGTCCAAACTCTGGCGGCAGAGGAGCGGGAGGCGCAGGAGCGATACGCGCGACAGAAGCTCCTGCGGCGGTACGAGAAGCTGAAGGAGAGCCGGACGCGGGATATGGAGAGTCGGTTGCACAGGCTGGAGCGCAACGGTGAGGTGCTGACGCGGTCGTTGGTGACGCTGATAGAAACTCTCAACCAGCTCATGAACGAGCAGCGCACATTACAGCAGCAGCAGCAACAGTCCTCCATGTACTATTACTACCACCCCCCTTCCGTCATCTCCAACCATCCACCCCGCGGCCACCGTCGGCGGGGCTCCGTCTCCCGACGTTCGCAGTCTCTGAGATCTCGACACAGTGATAACATAGCGTTGCGCTCAGAGGAATTAGCCCCGGAGGAGCAGCGGTCGCATAGACATCGCCCGGCGAGTGTTCGACCATCAGGAGGAGGAGGGGAAGAAGAAGGGGAAGGAGAGACAAGACGTCGACGATCGTATTATCTTGAAGAAGAAGACCGTACTCATGGAGAGGAGCTCCAGGAACAGTTGGATTCGCGGACCCGCCATGTCGCTCACACGGGGCATTCATACACTAGCAGTAGCGAACACAGCAACGACGAGGAGGAGAAGGCGGGTGACCTCGGGGCCATGGAGCCCATCATGCATGAACTGCAGGGCGCGGCGTGGCTCGATACCGATCGCCGGCAGATGGAAGAAGGAGAGGAAAAGGAAGAGAACGAGGTCTTTAAGCTGTTTTAAATGTCTGGTTGTGATCTGATCGTGGTGGTCGTTAGCTGATTGATACCCTCGCCCTAATGATCTCTTTTGTGTCTGCCCGCTGTTTCTTCCCGAGGTCTCCTTGTACTGTGAGATGTTAGTAAGATGGGTGTATATGTGTCGTGGTAGGATGTACTCCACATACCTTGAAAACGAAATAGGGGTTACTCCATCTAAAGTAGATGTAGTTGGTTGACTAGCTGGCCGAGTTGAATTGTACAGTACCATCGCTTTATACTACCTCCCTAATACCTACCTACCTAGTTAATCGTTCATTCTAGACCATAGTTTTATTGTCTGATTAAATATCAAATCTCGCAGCATTTACAAGCTTGTGGCTGAGGGCATCTAATGGAAAAGGCACTGCACTGCTTGACTACTAGCTACCTACCTACCTTGTATACGTACGCAGCTAGCGCTTGAAATATATGTACCTACTTATAGATTTTGCTCGGGTAGTACGAAGTAAGGGGTATGTACCTATGTATGTATGTATATGTTCCAATGTTGGTATGTGCCGTGATTGTGTGTACCTACCTAGTAGGCATGCTTCGTTTACGGTACATAGTTAGGTCATTCTCAGGGTTGGGGTTGGGGTTGGAGGCTGAAGTTGGGAGGTACATAGCGATCCATTGGCAAAAATTGCCATCTACGTGTTAAAAAAGAAGGGGGGGTAGGAATGGAATTAACTCTTTCTAGGCATAGGATGATGAAATATGTGTGATACAAAGCTACTCATTAGGCAGGTACGTATTACGTAGATAGATAGATAGATAGATATGCTTAGGTTAGGTAGGGAGGTAGGTATATTTAGGAGGGGTTTTTAAGGGGTGATATACCATTCCATTCACTTATGTATACTCCCTTGGGCAATTCATTTACCTATAACGAATGCCATACCTAGCTTACGGTGGGTGACAGGACATAAATTGCATCCAAGTAACATCACATCAACAGAAGAAGAACTGGCCGAGCGGCCATACGGAGTCATACTTACCTACCTATGCAGGCCCGGCTATAATCTGTAGTCCGCGTGATTCTCCATTCATCGTAATTAATCTTCTTTGGCGAAGTCGAAACCTACGCCTTACGTACGTACGTACATACGTGTGTACCTACTAGCTATCTAACCGATCGTATCTCATGTATCTATCTCCCGTTGTTGAAGAAAGGAGAGAGAGAGAGAGAAGAGTTCTAGAAAAAGAAATCATCATGGATGTGACCGTAACCGTAACCGTAACCGTATCCTAGGTAAGCTAGGTAGCCACCTAACTACTAGGTTATGTAGGCACGGTACTTACGTTAAGCTTTCCCTTCCATTCCCTTCGTGAATTCCTGCCTGCCTGCCTTTTGCCATTACATTAGATACGAGAACCTGGGTATCAACCGCGTGAAGCCAACCGAATTAAGCTCTTTTCTTTTCCGGAAAAGAGTTGGGGGAGAAAACATGTATCGTAACGTGCTACGGTACTGCAATGTCAATGCAAATGTAAATGATACCTCATGACGCCTGCCTCCCTCTACAACAATGAATGTGCTGAAACACAAATGATGTATCACTGATCGAACAGTTTTTCTATCGAGGTCTATTCGGCGGTTTACGTTTGATGAATGGATCAGAAGAAGTAGGTGGCCTCCTTCTTGGAAGTGGTTTAGGTACTTGGCCGGATGGGCCCTGATCACTGTTGTTAACTTGGAAACATACAAAGGCGGGAACTTCTACTTACGCTAGGGGCATTCAGTGGAAAAGGTGGATTGTTGCTTGTAGACGAGGATGGCTGGTCTCTTGGCTGCATCATGGCTCGGGGGCCAGTGGGTGGCATCGGCGCCGGCCTTGACGTGCTTGCACTGATAACCTACGCTCGTTTAGTAATGACTTAATCCAAGTTTTCTTTTGGTTTCCGGGGCTTACCCTCTTCGCCGGTTTGTTGGCTTCATCGGCACCTTCTCTAGTTCGCTTTTGTCCCGAGGTATGGATTACGGGACGTTCAGACGATATAATGGGAGTGGCAATTTCACCGCGTTCATTGATACCACCAAAACTATTGTTGGGTATCGGATATCTTGGCTCTGGCCGGGAAAGGAGAGTGTATTTCTGCGGTAATTGAGGCGTTTGGTGCTTATTAGGTATTCGATTTATGGGCGGAGCATCCTCCATCACCACATCCTCGCCATCATTGTCTCTACGCGGGACAATCGGAGGCTGGCTATAGTTGGGAGTAATAGAGGGTGGCGCTGGAGCCGACGAAATCGTAGGTGGCAATCTGGGGCCGGGCTTTCTAAGAAGAGAGAGGACATCGCCGGTGGTGTAACGGTCACGGACTTTGGCATCCTCGATGAGTTTGTTCCAGAACTCTCCCTGGACGAGAGCCCTTGAGTCTCCGAGAATGTAAAGCGAAGACTTCGCACGGGTCAAACCGACGTTCATACGCCGAATATCTGTCATGAAACCAATACCTCCTGTCGGGCTCGCTCGGACACAGGAGAAGATGATGATCTCGCACTCACGACCCTGGAAAGCATCCGTGGTGTTGAACTCGATCTGTTCCTTGATTCCTTCTCCATAACGACGAGAAAATTGATCACGAAGCTCGAACAATTGGGCTTTGTAGGGAGTGATGATTCCGATTTTCCCCTTTAGGTCCGTCTGGTGGTAATCCGACGATAACCTCTCATATAGTTGCATAGCGACATTCAACTCCTGGTGGTTGACAAGTGACTGACCCTTACGACCTCTCTCTTGGATACCCTTCACATCGAAGAAGCGATATGGACCCAACAGTGGATTCTGGTGCCACGGTTGGTAACGCAATTTCATCATGTTGTCACCATCAAGTAGACGTCGTTCATAGAATTCCTGGCTCGGGAACAGACTAATCTCTGGATGCATACGATACTGGGTATCGAGGAGATGAACATCATCGGGGTGGTTGCGCTGCATACGAACGAAAAGACTCTGGTCGTATCCGTAACGTGCAGCGGACTGAGACAACACCGTTGGCGGAAGTTGTTTTGGATCACCGACAAGGATACATTTAGAGCAGCCATATTTCAATGGGATTAGTGCGCTGAGTTCGACACACTGGGCAGCTTCGTCGATAATCACCGTTTCGAACTCAACTTGCAGATTCTTGAACATCTCGTGTCCACTACCACTGAGCGTGGCGCAGAGGACTTGCGAAGTGTTGAGGATCTCTTGCTGGATTTGACGTCGTCGAATCTCACTTTCCCTTGCAGCAGTGTTTCCACTGTCTTTATCTGCGTCGATCTTTGCGCCAATCTGAGCCTGCCGACGTTTTAACTCGTCAAACTTCCTCTGCAGTTGATTTGTCTGCGTGCGGTCTTCAACTAGTCTCGAGGCTTCCAACTGTGGTCGTAGATCAGCCAATTCCTGCTTGATCTGACCGGCTTCCTTGTGCATCAGATCTCGGGAACTGGGGCCTCCATTCTGGCCTGCGGCGCCTTCTACACGTGCCTTGACCATTTCGTCCAAAGTGACATCCCTGACCGCAGCATTGATGGCATCGCTGCGACCAAGACGTAGTACGTTGATCTTGTGCGTAGATCCAGTGGTAGACTTGACCCCTTTTTTGAGACGCAGGACTATCTCGTCGACGGCAGCGTTACTTGGAGCACAAACAAGTAACTTCTTGGCCATACCTTTGTTACTACTCATTGCATGTGATCCTCCTGGCCCTTTAATAGCAGTAGCAGTACCGCTCGTGTTAGAGAAGTGACCAGTAAGCAAGGCACCGACCATGGCTACGATCGTTTTTGTTTTGCCAGTTCCGGGGGGACTTAATTTTGTTAGCTAACTCTTATTCATATTGATGACGATACCATCTCACTTACCCCTGGACTAGCGTGAATGCATCATTCTCCTTTGCATTCAGAATTGCCTTAGCCTGGCCAGTATTCAGCTCATAATTTTCCATGATGCTCTGTACGGCCTCCGGACTAAATTTGAGCATAGGTGAAGGCTTGGCCTCGAGAACCTCCGGCATTAGATCGTAGTACTGGAGACTTTCTAACGAGGCATATTCACGTTCGATAGTAGTCATGTTGGTGATCTTAACGGTATGCAATACGGCCTGTGGCACCATCTTAGACAGGATGCCGCCGGCCCGGCCACTTAACCGATATTGAACTTCCAGACTACCATTCTTGTACTGAGTGCGCCAGATACGAGCAAGACAATGCAATGCGTTCGGAGATTCTAGCGGGTTAGAAGCTTCAGAAAATAAAATAATATCTCCTTCCGATAGAAACTTGTCCTTGCTTTCAGCTATCGGCATTGCTGTGCTAACCTCAACGAACTTGTCAACGTTCATACGATTGATGACTTTAATTTCGAAGGGCTTTGATGTTGTTTCATCCTTGGCTGTCACGAATGACCTCCACGCCTCATATATCAACAGCGGCAAGAAGGTCTCCTTGTATTCTCGTGGATCGCCATAAGTGTCTGAAACTTTGGAGCATTTTATACCATTTGGTGGATCGTTACCTTCATGAAAGATATCCCATTCAAGAATAGCTTGATGCAAAACGTCCATCGGGGGGATTAGACGCGCTCGCATATCCTTGGCTGAACGCTGAATCTTCATCTTCTTCACCGGGAGGCGCGGAGCGGGCTTCATGGACTGCGCCCCTTTGGACGTACCTTTCTGTCCCGTGGCAGTCCGGGCCAAGAAATCAGCATCGTCGCTATCCGAATCGTCCTCGTCTTCGGATGATGAATTGACCATGATCTCACTCTTTTGTGGTGCATGGTCCTTACCCTGAACACCAGAAAGCCCCTGAAGACCGGATCCCTCACCCGTGACCAACGGCTTATTATTTCGCAGGGCTCTTGCCCGAGCAATTGTTTCGGCATCTCGTTTCCGTTTTTCTTCAGCTTCCCTCTGTCGCTTCTCACGCATGAGTGCTCCCGCATTGACTCCGGGTTTGGGCTCTGGCTTGCGAGATTTGAGTTTTTGCAAAATAGCCTGGCTTTGGGTTGAAGAAGAGGCTTTGAGCATCTCAGAAATATCACTGCTGGGCCTCTTTCCTACAACGCTCTTATTAGGCGCTCTGGGCTCGCTGGATACATCGTCCGCCGACTTTGACCAAGCGTCAATCTTCGTCTGTTTCTTGACAGGCTCGACTTTCTTGATTGAGATGATCTGGAGGTCATCTTCTTGAGTATCTTCACCCAAAGCTCGTATCAACTCAGCCCGTTGACGGTCGTCCATGTTCGTTTGAGTGCTATATCGTCCATCTGGCCTTTTTACGCAAGTATTCTTCACGAACGCGAGGGGTTGAGGGGGGAGTTCCATATCAAACTCAACCAGGCGCCTCAGCAGTTTGCCGAGGACATTGACAATGACCGTGACAAGATAGTGATCCTTCAGACGGAGCATCTTGCAAAGTCCCATACAATATTTTCGAGGCTGCTCCAGAATATCTTTCATGGCTTGCTTATCGACTTGCTCGCCATCATCGGCTATGTTAGAGACCGCAGACTGGGGGCTTAGTGCAGAGGCCAAAAGGCCATCCTGGGCTAAGAGATCCTCAGCGAGTTCCATGGCCTCTCGACAGAAGTTTTTCATGGATTCCATCTCGATAAGATAGCTCCAGCCTTCTGTTTGATGAAAGGCGTTGTCGAGGAAAACCCATTGCGCATTCCACCAGGATCCGAGTACCTCACGCTCTGCATTATTCAAGGACTTTGAACGCAGAATACCAGATGACGGGTCGCAGAGACTACTGAGAATATCTCTCGAATAGCGAATGATGTTGAACTGGGGCGACCAAAGGGATTTCCTCCCGGTAATTTCGGTAACAACTGCTGTATAAGAGGACAAAGTGAGACTGAAGTAACTTTGAAGTAATTGCTGTACAGCATCTGTTCTCCTCATCTCGTTGGTGACTGTCTTGATGAAGGAGGCTCCGGCCTGGCTTATGTTCTCTTCGCCGTGGACAAGAGATGCCACAATAGGTAGGATCGTAGAAGGATCTAGGCAGAATTTTCTCAGTGTAGCTTCGCTGAAGTCGCCGAATCTCTCGATCATTCGCCCTATGACCTCGGTCGTTTTCTGAAATTCGGTATTGAATTCCCTCTTTGTTGCGGATAATTCTTGCCTCTTTGGTGGGCGGAACACTTCCACGGCGATCAACGGGCGGGTGGCAATCAGCATTGCCTTGGCAATCTCATCTGCACCAGGCTGGAGGAGTTCCAGGAATGCTTCCCAAAGACCTGACGAGTTACGTTTGACCTCCCGCTGGACATGGCTATCGCTATTCTGAAGTGCATTAAACTCCTCGACGGTGATACGGGAGTCCAAAGCTAGGCCAAATTTCACTACGGATAGACCTGCGTGTACCATAGTCGCATTACGCTGGTCATCCGAGGGAAGCTGCGCCAGCTGGATGATCAGATCTTTATATTTCAATGCCAGGTTCAGAATCGGATTAGTGTGGATAGTAGAAGAGCCTGCATGAAGCTTATAACTGGGGGAAGCAAAAGCTTCTAAAGTCGCCGACAAGGTCTCAACTGCGGCAAGAGAACAAGCCACCTTACCCCCAGGTGTCATACTAGAGCCTTGGGCATAGGTCTGAAGGAAATGATGCAGAAGCGAATCACAGACATCACTCTTCTGGTGCGTGGGAACTGATTCTACGAAAGGTTTAACCCAAGATATGGCAGCAGGACCATCTAGTATCATCTCATGTTCTCCAGACTGCGAAAGCAATGGCTGGAAGGCGGGACTACCAAATATCTGTTGGGCAACGGCTGTATGTGAGTAGTGGCTGTACGCATCCCAAAAAGCCTTGGGGGACTTCTTTATGAGCGCACAAAAGGCCTTGAGTATCAGTTTTAAGATGGGAACTGAACTCATTCGCGGTATCTGGGCAATCATCAAGTCATATATGTTGGGTTGAATGGCCATGCCCCGCAAGGAATGAATAACGAGATTCTCATCGAGAACATTCAGAATATGCAAAAAAGCTGGCCAGAATCGAAGTAGATACTGGGGAGACACACTGCCATCATTTGCTTTCTGGATGGCATCGGCAAGGTTGTCGTGGATGGACCACTCGAAATCCTCGGCAGTGATAGTATGCTGCCTGGAGAATGTGTGGACGGCGAACTTATTGCGCGTTTCGTCCTCCTCGAAAAGAAAGTAGGTGATCGTGGGTAAGACCTCATCTAACTTGAGTATTTTGCGTCTCTGGATGGATTCGAAAACGTAATTAAACTGCTTTCGGTTCTCGGGAAGACTCAGATAGGGCATGCAACATATAGATTCGTAAAGGGCGATAAGAAGTCCCTCTCTATCCTCTTTAAGGAAAGTGCTCTGGCCAGCTATGCCATTGTGGGCTTTGATGAACTCGGCAGCGCCCTCGAGGCCTTCGGTAATGCGGACAAAGTCGAATTGGTTTAGACGTGCTTCCATCTGGGACACGACAGTGTCATCATAGCTCCTGCTCACTAGATTAGTAGCAGATTTCAAGTGAAAGTAGGTGAGATTAAGACTTACTGAGCAATGTCTTTGAGAAAAGGCTTCCGTCCCTTGTGCCAGTTGCGTACACAAGTGGCACAAGACTTGAGGCACGCATTGGTCCGTTCCTTGAATTCATGGCTTAGCGGGCCCTCTGGAAGGCCTAATATTAGTGAACAGACATAGGTCTGATTCAATCTATCATCTCCGTCTTCCAATCGTTGTTTTTTCTCAGCAATGCTGATTTTACTCGGGGCGTCTAGATCATCGTAGAGCTCGTCATCCTCCTCCGAGATCCTCGGGCAACATAGATGACATTCGGACGGGAATTCGCGGAGTTTGCTGAACGCGGTTTCGAGCAAATTGTCAACAGACATGTTGGTTCGTATGGCGCATGTCGCCGCGAGACTGATCTGAAAAGCGGTGGGAGACCGTCGAGGAAAGGGAGAACAGAATTCGGAAGAAGGTTGATTATCGAGTGGAGATTCTGTTTATCGCCTGGATATGGATCTGGGCCTTCAATTGTATTAGGGAAGGGGAACTTGGGATCTTGAATATCTCCAGAGTTAAAATAATAAGGATGTAGGTAGGCACTTGGGAAAAATTCGGGCAGGGAAAAGGGTAACAAAGGTAAGGAGGTGAAAGTTCGGTATTCTTTGGTGGTGACTACGAAGAAGGCTTATGAATGAATGCTTCCTACAGAAAGAAGATGAACTCCAAAATGAAAGACAGCTTGAAAAAAGTTGTCCGATATGCACATAGGCATAGCAGTTGGAATGGGCAAGCAGATCTAGAGTGCTAGAATCATGCGACTAGGTGCGATAGAAGTGGATGATGTAGATGATGTAGTAAGTTCTGGCGCGGGTTCTAGTGCTAGCTCCGGCGCGTGAAGTTTCCATAGACGTGCCAAAGCCCGTTCCACTGTATCGATAAGACTTTAATGAGAACCCAACAGGGTTCAATGTTACTAATGTATGTACAATACGGCAGGGGCCAAATGAGAGCCTGTAGGGCACTAAATCACCCTACCCTACTAAGGTAGGTAGGTCGGCGTGACAGCGTGCTGTGTGCTGTGCTAATGCCCTATCGGCTCTGGAATAAAGTGGGGCATCATGCGGGCGGGATCGGGGAAGTGTGGGGGGGACCGATTCTAAATACAACATTTCCATGCAACTTATACCTATAAAATAAAACCTCAAAATTGTCGCCGGTGCTTGTATCATATTAAGCAGATCTTAAAGTTTTTATTCGATGGATAAAGCCTCTAGTTTCACTAGTTGAAATGGAAAGGCTGCCTTAGGTAAGTAGTCATGTTCTTTCTTGTATTCCAGCTACTACTAGGGTAATAAGGTACACCTACCTAAGGTAATGCCTTAACCTAGACAACTCGATGTAAGTGTCTGTCTTTGGTGCTGGGAAGGTAAGTATCTAGGTCAGTGACACTTGATACCTCCAGCGCTTCTCTAGGGATATGCATTGGATATCCTACCGGAGCCCTATGCATCTAGGCAACCTACAAGTATGCTGTGCTGTTAGTGCTGGCCGACCAGCTAGTCACTACATCCTTTCAAACGTAGACAACGATCGAGAGCAACCATTTCACAAGTATCCAGAAATATTAGGCAAGTCACAAACACAAGTTCCAAGTCAAGTAATAATCGATTCTGGGGGCCTTTGCCCCCACCAATATATTAGACAGGACACAGGTCTACTATCTAAGTGAAGGGCTAACCTAGGGAAGAATTTCCAGCAAACGTGTAGGAAAATTGATGAAGTGTCATTAACACAAGCAAGTATGACCAAGCATCGCTGTATCGCTAATCGCTCAAGAGTGTGAGTAAGCATGAGCCAACATGTTGATTTGTACATGGGTGTATGGGCGAAATATGAGCAGAGATACATAAGCATCAGCTCATGTATGTGCGAAAGCAAAAGTGAAAGGGGGTAAGGTATAAAGATGCCCGCCAATCCAGTATTTGGTGAATAGATGAGCGGCTACCAGATGGGCACATCCATATCATCATGCCTTGTCCATTGTCGGCTCTTTCTTCGGTTTGGCTTTCGATTGCCGCTTATCAAATCGATCCAGAAGAGCCTCGAGGGGACAGTCCTGGAGCATCTTCCAATCTTCTGTTCCCGAGACCGTGCTTCGCTTGCATTTTACACAGGTCTGTCCATGACGGATAAATAGCTGGTGGAGACCATACTTGAGGTTGTCTGGACATCGGACTTCGAGGTGACTGAACACATCATCCTCGGTCGCTTTCTCGGGAACCCATCTCAACCACTTCGCAAACTTGTTGACATGTGTGTCAACCGCAAAGCAAGGCCTCTGGAGACAAAATAGTATGACACACGCTGAAGTCTTCACACCGATTCCAGGGTACTTGGTGAATTGTTTCATCGCTTCGTCAACCGGCACGCCGTGGAGATGGTCGAGTGAAAGGATATTGTGTTCCGTTTTCAATATCTCAAAATCCTTTTGGCCGTCAGTCTTGTCGGAAGCGGCAAAAACACTTGCCTGCTCGCCTGTGTTTCGCTCTTTGAGATAGGCTTCACGACGTTCAATGTTCTCCTGGTACACCATGTCGAGAATATCCTTGATGCTCTTTGCCTTGGTGTTCGCCAAGCCCCCCACACGAATTGCATCAACCACATCCTCAAGGGGGGATTCTCTAACATTGTTCCAGTTGATGCTCCCCTTTCCGATCCCTTCTTCTAAAATCCCAAACCTTTTTACTAGGCCCTCTAGCATCTTTGCGGCACCGCCGAAAGTGACGGCACCGCTCAAAAGCGTTCTTATCAAGGCATCAAGAACAGACGGGACCTCGCCACATCCTGTCACCTCAAGGGAAGGGGAAGGGATCACGTCGGGTGCTTGAGCCGGAACATCATCATGCATCTCCTTCAGCAGATCGTAGACCTTTTGACACTGTTCCGCGCTTGGTGCTTTCCATTCAGGGAAAGGGCTTTCGCCTGGGGTGAGGCCATACGGGTTATCTTTTGTCTTTCTAGCCTTTCTTTTTGCCTTCTTGGGCTGATGGCCAGGATCAACGAGATCATAGTCTCGGTAGTCTGTTGTCGTTTGACTCTCTGTTTGGCGTTTTCGCTTTTTTGCCGCTGTTTTGGTATCTTGCTCATCGGCACTAGATACATCTTCCTTTTTGATGAAATCTTCACATTTCACGCTTTGTGTTCTTGGCCGCAAGAGTCTACCAATCTGGCTTGTGCCATTGATCCCGGAATTGACTGCTTCGGGCTCTTTGGTGACATCCTCCGCCTGGGCATCCTTGATACTCTCTGATGGAACCGATTTCGTGACTTTGAATTTAATGAACCTCTGGTACAGAGGTTTCGGCGATTGCATATCTTGTTGAATAGTGGTGGGTCTCGTGGACTTAGTTGTAATAGGAGAATCGCGTGAAGTCTCTGAGGTATTTACTTCTGCTGCCACTGGTGTTGTTGCAGATAGCATTTCTGCAATTGACGCTGCCTTGTTTATGGCAGAAATAGGTCGTCCCTTGTTGGTAGATTCCGTGTCAACGCTGGATTCGATGTCGGCGATATCTGATGGTTTAGTAATAGGTAGCTCCTTTCTCGATCCAGTCTGTGGAGTAGAACCCATATTGTGTGGTAGAACCTCCCAACCGCCTTTGACAGGTACGGCCTGTGCCTTGCGACCACGTCTTGCCATGTTGCCTATAACCCACGTAAGATCCTAAGTATGTATGACTAGGTGGTTGAAGTAGGCTAAGGTGAAGGAGTGGCCTAGTAAGGAAATACCGTAGGTTTAGGGGCAAGGTACAATGGGGTTATCAACTTGTTGCCGACACCTAGAAGATAGAGATCTTGATGAATTGGACTATATATCGTGGACGAGTAGTTGTGGCTGTCGAGATATATAAGGACGATATATAGAGATGTTGGTTATATAGAATAATATGGGCCATAAAGGGGCTCTAGGTTCACACGTGTACCAGTCCCTAGCGACTCTCGATCATTATCGTGAGATTTTTCTTTCTGTGTCGTCCTTCTCTACACATGTCAAAGTGTTAGTACCCTGACTTTCTTGGAGTATCATGAAGTGGGTGGCGTTAAGTCCGTGGAAAGAGCAACTAGTTCAGTTTCTTACATTGATAATCAGTGTCTGAACTGGCGGCGGCGTGAACCAAGGACACGATAAAGAAATATGCACTCCACTGCAGCTCAATAAAGGAGACAGATTTGGTTCATTATGTCGTCGAAAATATGTAATATTTGGTCAGCCTGTGTGAACTCTTCCTGATGGGGCAATCCTTAGTCGACGGTTGCGCATATCATCACGCGTAGGCCGTAGATTGAAAATAATGTATCGAGCTTATTCACTAGTGGCTCGGTAACATAGGTCAGATTTTGGTGACCAATAACACTATAATATGTTGCTCTTACCTGTCGCGATGGTGCAGTAGAGAAGTAGGTAGTTGGTAAAGTGGATACGTCTCTAACCAGGGTAGTTTAATCTTTACGACTGAAGACGCTGATAGGGGTTGAATATCGGGCGCAGATGCGTGAAAGATACGTGTGAATATTGTGTTAGTGATGTAGTTTTCACGACGGCAAAGACCGATATTGCGGAGTGTATGCCGTGGTGTAGACTGCAATGCGCAGAGATGTTCTAGATTTTCCAGACTGCAGAGGATCCATGTATCAACTATGATGAGCCGAGGTGCAGGCTATAAGGTGCTGGAAAATGATCAGGGTAGGAAATAAATCGCAGTATAAGTTACTGCCAACTACGATTCAACGCCAGGTCGCCGATTTTTCAACGTTGATATATCGTCTGAGCGTGTCACCAACGAAAGAATTTTATGAATATTTACTTGTAGAAAAGAAAAAAAGAGATGTGCGATGCGTCGTATCGAGAAGGACCTAGGTAGATGGTAAATGGAAGGAAGTCCTTGGGTTGATATCAAGTACTATGTATGGACAGTGACAAGATGACGCACCATCCTCCTACCGTGCCTTCCTTCCCTTTCCTATTACCTACCTTTTGATGGTCACGGCGTGCTTGCCCTTAAATCATGGACTAATCGCCACTTCCTAAGGGTAGGTATTCTACAAGGGCTTTTCTAATTCAGGGAAGCCACTCAGAATCGCTAGGAAGGACCGAAGAGCCCTAAGTAATTTGTGACTGTTCAAAATATTACACTCGGATAGGAAAGAACCCAAAATTAGCCGAGGAGACAGCCCTGTAATTACCCCTATTTTCGCAACTCTCTAAATATTTACGTTTGGCAGGTACCTACATGTTGTTCCATGCTGTTCCTTGGATACGCTTTGATAGTATACCGCTGTCTGATACCATGTAAAAGAGCAAGAAGTCCCTGTAGAAAGTGAGAACTGGACTCAAAGAAATTTAGACCGTTAAATCAGGGAATATCAGGTAGGAATTTTGAATGTCCCCCTTCACTATCTATATAAGCAGAAAACAAAAGAATCGTCTTATTTGTCATTTCCGTTTGGTTCTAAATGGAAAAATGGAAACTTCATATCAGTGAAAACCCACAGTTAAGTATGTGCCTACAGAGTGCCTACTAGTATCAATATTAATACATGGGCGCGTTGAAGGTGCTTCGATAAGGTTAAGACTACTGCAAGCACAGGCTGTCAATAGACCTGGTAGTGTTCTCAATGTGCGCCGCTTTGAAATAACTTATAACAGCCCTGGGAAGGCATGCACCTCTATAGGAGTCAACTTAGAAGGTATATGGACCTTATAATTAGGATCAGGTAGCACGTTACGAGAATCACAAGGGATCAGGTCCAGCTAAGTTGGTATTTACATTCTTTATTGGTATGCTAGGCTTCTCTCCATTGAGTATTAACGCCTAATGTCGCTCGGGCTCATTGGCAACATTATGTATGCTAATGTCTTCCCGAGCGATAGGAGGGGAGCCTCCATTGTGCTGCGAATCTTTGTGGGAGGCAAATCCATTTGTTCCAGCCTGTTTATGACCTGCAAGCAATGTTGGACCACTACTAGAAACTTGCGCATCTGTAGCGTGTTTCTGTTTGACACCGCGTATTTGGTTGAGGTGTTCAAAGTACCCTTCAGGTACTGGTGTGACATATGTACCGCAAAACACTCCAACCTCAAACTCTTTGGGGCCATTTGGCGGCGAAAGCTCCGCACAGGCTGCCTTCAGGTCATCAAGATCCTGATAGATGACCTCCTCTGCATCGATGCCTATAAGTTCTATGTCAGTTACTGCCCTTTACGGAGGAATCATATGAGTGGGGGTGGTCATCATAAAGGCTCGACTTACTCTTGGCAATAGCGAAGCGATCTTTTCCAGAGGCTATCAATTCCGTGGGACTGGCAAGGTCAACTAAAGGCATTATGTTAGTATATTATAAATGGCCAAGGATGAGTTGCAGAGCATAGGTCACTTACTGCCGTAGATGTGAGGAGCTGTGATTGGAGGAGCACAGCTAGCGAATATGACCTTGCGCGCGCCGGCCTCACGTGCCATTGCCACGATCTCTCTTGACGTGGTGCCTCGGACAATTGAATCGTCAACGAGAAGCACGCACCGCCCTGCGAACTCTGTCTGAATAGCGCTGAGCTTTCTTCGTACCCCCTTTTGACGTGCTCCTTGTTGTGGCATTCTGTAACACATTCAGTTAATAATTGCCAGTCTTAAAATTAACAAATGAGAGTTACTACGCCCGTTTGACTTGTCAAAGGGCTTGCAACTACCAAATAAATTTGGTAGGATGACTCATCATGAATGGATTATGAAAAGGGGGGACAAACATAAATGTCCTGAACACGTATCTGTTCTTGACGAAGCCTTGGCAGTATGGCTTGCCTAGACGTTCAGATACGCTGGCGGCTGACGTATTCGACGTCTCGGGTATCGGAATGACCGCGTCAATATCCTTAATGACGTCGTCACCAAGGAGCTCTCGTATTTTGTCTGCCAGTTTGTAACCCATCCTCTGTCGGGAGGCATGGACACTGATTCCATCGATGACTAAAAAGCCGGCATCATTAGACTGGTCCAGTGGTAATTGGAAAGTAGTAGGTACTCACCAGTGTCTGGTCTTGCGAAATAGACCTGAAGTATGAATGGTTAGCATGGTCTTAGAACAATACAAGACGGAGGGATTGCCAGAAGACGTAGCCGATAATTTTCAGTAAAGTAGTTGGAAAGAAAGTAGGCCAATAACTCAACTTACATATTCGAATATGTCTGGCGAGTACGACTTCTGCTTTTGGACTTGGTGGAAAACTGGTGCCCGACCCTTCTGTATGAAGACCGCTTGGCCTGGCAATATATCCCGGATATTGTGAAAGCCAAGCTGTCGTAGAGCAATCGATTCAGACGCAAGCATATAGTCCGTTGCGCCGGGAAGAGTATCTGACTCTCTCTCGCCAAGCACTAGAGGCCTGATACCATATGAATCTCGGAAACCCAAGACACCAAAACCAGCGATCATTGCGGTACAGGCCCAGCCACCCTAAGTCGATAATTAGCTTTCATTATATTGCCTTATAGGTAAGCATAACGTACCGAGCACCGCTCGTACATCCGGGCCAGAGCATCTATGATTTGTTAGCATTCTGAAGGAATTAAACACTCTTGTTCATCTGTCTCATCACTTGCCACTCTAATCACATGGAAAGGCAATCAACCGAAGGCGAGGAAGAGACAGAATCAAGTGGGTAGGGTAGTTAGAATAACGTACTGAATATGTCGTCTGTGTTGACTCTGGCTTTTCCTGTCTCGTTTAATTCGTTGGCGAACACATTTAGCATGCTAATATTATGTTAGTGCTCAGCATTTATTCCGATAAATATATATACAAGTGAACCAAGGTCTTTATTAGGGAAACTTACAGCTCACTATCGCTATCTGTATTTATATGCCTGTGTGCGACAGTATCAAGGTACTGGCGTAGGTCAGGGGCGTTGATTAGGTTTCCATTATGCGCAAACTATAATGTCTCTGGTTAGCAATTATTTCAGATGGTCCGACAGGTAGCCCCAAGCATTGAAACAGTGAGAAATTGTCCTCGCAAACAATTTGTCTAAAGAAACATGTGAATCCGAACCGACAAGAGGGCTACGCGCATGCCTCAAGTGAAGCCCACATTTGCTAGCGGTAAAAATGTAGCAATTGGTTAAGACAAGGAAACAGAACTTACACATATGCCATAGGGACTGTTAACGTAAAATCTACAAAGAGTTAGCATACGTCCGCGGGCCTAGAGCCTGACTTCACAGATGTCCCCCAGAAAGGACTAAGAGGGGGGAAGGACAACGAAAGAGCAACATTTAAACATACTATGCAAACGTTAGCACAAGGAGATCAATTGCAGCAGGACAAAAGCCTTATAAGTAAATGGCTTATTGCCTAAGAAATGATTTAGACTGACCGGTTGTGACTCTGCATTGGATGATGTGCCTGCAGTGGGGTAACGTAGATCTATATCAAGAGTAAGTAGTTGTCATACAAGCACGAGGGTGAATTAGACTAGTCAAGGATATAAAAGAGATAGATGTTAAGGCACTGGTGAAGGAGGAACATACGCCCAATACCCATTGAACCGGGCAGATCTCGAACCCTCAGGCCGTCGCCGAACACTTTAGCAGCCATTCCATTGCCCTGTTATAGGAGTTAGATATGAGCTTATAACTTGGGACAAGCCATATTACCTTGCACTGATATATGCGACCACCGGCAGCGCAAGTCGCTATTCCGCAAGCTAGATAGAGTTAGTTTTCAACTTTTCGGCTGTCTTGTTGATTGATATCTCAATACGAACCATCTTGTCCTCTATGTTGGAGGAAATACAAGGCTTCGTGGAGTGCCACTGCGGCTTTGCAGGGGGCATCGGGGTCATCGCTGACATGGCCTAAGATGAGGCCAAGTACACCACACATGATTTCGAAGGTGATGAAGTTGGAAGGTCTAAGTGTATATGGGTGGTTAGTAGAATTCAAGTTGTGAGGTAGTTGTTAATCTCGCAGATAACAACAGAGCAGCAACTTGGACGTAGGAATACGTATTAGGTATATGTGTAGTGTCCAAATCAGGAACAAACATCAGGGCAAACATCAAGAATGATGGAAGTTACTCCTCAGCGCTACTAAGCCGTCTTTTGGAGGTAGGTGGGGAGGTAAATACTGTTCAGAGTGGATGTATCCGCAGCATATGCTAGGCAGTCGAACATTTATAAAAAAAGAGCTCATCATAACAGTAACGTAATAGATAGTATGGCCTTCCTCCAGAACAATGGTCTACGATCTACGTATCTCCTATGCCTATCTCTTGTCTTCTGTAGCCGAGTTGAAGCTTAGGAATATAGAGGAATGGGTAGAATCGACGGACGCCGAACCCATGTGCTAGAAGCAGTATGTAGACCATAGACCATTATCCTGGCGCATTGGGTGAAGGGGCGGTGGCAATGAGAGTTTGTAAAAACATCATAACGTACCTTATCTACCTGGGTACCTTGATTACAACAAGAACGGCGCGCGTCGAAGGTATTACGAAAGGAAGTCGCGGTCGAGTTGTGTTAAGTCGAGTCAAGTTCTACTTGTTCAATGTTGATCGCGGGGTTAGGAATAGAATGTAATACTATGTAGGCGGTAAAGGTGTGATCTCGTTTTGCGCGATTAGTTGAAGATGGCAAGGCTCTCTCAGGTGGGAAGGTTGCAATTTGAATGGGAAAAAAAGATTTAAAAATTGCACGGATGATGTGAACTTCTTGTTTGTCCGATCTTAAACTTGTTAAGTGCAGAAGCACTTGTACAATTAGTACTATGATAGGAAAGAGCACGCGCAACCGGCATCGTGACCAAATCTATTTAATTTTTTTTTTCTATTTTGTCCGGTAAGAATCAAAAAAGATTTGCGACGAAACTCGGAGTAAAAGTGGAACGGTATCTAGAGCTTTTAGGTGATTGGCCCAAACGGTTATCAGTTTTTTCCGAACTTTAAACTTCACCCAAGATTCCGGGATCTGGAACAATGGCCGCCTTACCGATTGGTGGGGTGCATTGGCAATGCGCGAAATACAGTACATAACATGTATGTCACTGCCACAGTGTCACTGCACAAGATCCACTAGCGCGGGGCGAGCACGTGGCAATAAACTGTTACCCGCCTGGCAGCTTCAATCGTTTTATTGTCAAGACTGGCTCGAGTAGTCCAATTGTTGGTAAAATTACAAAGAATCCTTATCGATAGGTGGGGATTTACTTATCATATTGACCTACTTGTGGTAGTACATGTAAGCATGAGCTAATGCATTGTAATCCATTACTTTCTTCATTTCGATACTATAAAGAAAGATGAGACTATTGAAGCCTTTTATTAGATGCAAGGAGTCAAGGACTTCATTATATGTAGGTTAGTCTGTCAACACTAGGTGTTCACCCAGGCATTCTAGGTCCTAAGGATGTAAAGTTGCATAGGTACCTAGCACCTAGGTGGGCCCTTCTTTGCAACCATCACCAATCGCTTTACAAGCATTACACAATACAGATCTGCATGCCTTCGTTTATTCTAGAAGGCGAGCATACAGTATTTTCAAATGTATATAAAACACCATTATTTTCTCTTGGCTTATGGCTTTGGTTTAATTTAATTATAATCATACCTTCCTAATAAATCCTGCCTTAATTAATAAGATTCCCAGTGTGCAAACCACTTACAGCAAATAATAGAAAAAATAATAGAAAAAATTCATGAATACTATCAAGAACACCATGTCAAAGACACTCACCCACGCTAAGATCACCCCCCACCGGTCCACTGCTCGGGGGCACTCAGATCACGGATGGCTCAACACCTACCACAGCTTCTCCTTCGCCGATTGGTACGAACCGAGCCTGACACACTTCGGCTCGCTGCGGGTGCTGAACGAGGACCGGGTGAAGGCCAATTCAGGGTTTCCCACACACCCTCACCGCGACTTCGAGATCTTTAGCTACATCCTGTCGGGCGAGCTGACCCACCGCGACAGCATGCTGCGCAAGGGTGCCGAGGGCGCAGCGGGGTCGGACAAGTTCTACCGGATGCGCCGCGGGGATGTCCAGTTCACCACCGGCGGCTCGGGCATTGCCCACTCCGAGCAGAACGAGCACCCCAGGGACACCGTCCACTTCCTCCAGATCTGGGCCATCCCCTGGAAACGTGGCCTAACCCCGATATACCACACCCGCCATTTCGACGACGCGGAAAAACGCAAGGCCTTCGTGCCGATCTTGAGTCCCCTTAAAGGTGGGCCGGACGCCACGTTCGAGCAGGAGAAAGCGGCCGAACCGACAATAGAGGGCACCATACCCATTCATGCCGACTTCGTCATGGGGGCGGGCTTGATTGCGCCGCAGCAGAAGTTCGATTGGATTGTGGGAGCCAAGGCCACGGAGAGCACGAAGCGGAAGGTGTATGTGCATGTTCCGATGACGAAGAACGGAAAGACAAAAGTCCGGCTAGATGGTCGGGATGACATTTTGAACGAGGGCGATGGCGCGTTTGTCGACGGTGTCCATGCTGGAGATAGGTTGGTAGTGGAAAGTGTTGGCGAAGTGGAAGCGGAGGTTGTGGTGTTGGATACGGCGTGAAATGATGGAATCTAGGTTAGCATGTGCTCACACATCTCACCATCAATACCCTAGATACCTAAGTAGATATATAGCCATCTCGGCGTCAAACTCTAATTTATAAAATAAATATCAAAATTTCAACGCTCCATCATCGCACTAATATCTTGAAACCTATAGCTTGGGTGACTGCGAACTCAAGCAGTCAATGGCAGCCTACCTAGCCGTTGATGAGATTCGCGACAATGCTGTGCGCCGGATAATGTAGCTGTGGCCCAGCGGCAGCCGATAAGCGAGATCCCCGGCAGGCGGCATGGTGCGTTCGGACACAGCAGATGTCACTTGAGATGAAAAGAAAGGAGAAGGAATCAGCCACCGCCTTGCCTATAGCTTTTAGAGATGCAAGGTGGTGGTGAATATAAGGAGAAAGGTAAGCTAACGGGTATGTCCGCCTAATATAAGTACATACCTGATAGAATCAAATGGGTATGGGTTTACTCACAACTGTCAATGCAATGTATGTCTATACCTTTGTACATGGTAGTTAACAGAAAGACGGCAAACAATTGACCTTAGATCGAGCCAGTTACGTAATGAGTATCGAAGGTACCTAGTTTGCTGGTGACAACGAGATTCAAAAGTGCAAAGTGGAGAACAATCTGACATACATAGGTAATACGACCTTGCTAGGGAATGAAGGTTGCATGATCTCAAAATCTTTGTAGCCACATAAGCCGCAGCAGCTGGAAAATGGATACCAGCAGCCTAAAATGTGAGTGCTACGTTACTTACTACTGTCTGTCATGTTGTGTTCGTGAGACCTGGGGAGGCATCAAGCATTATACGGGTTTGTTGCATCAAAGCTCTCGGCATCTTTCTTTCTTTTCCTTTCTTTTCCAACTTGAATTCGCTTTACTGGAGATTGATGAAACTAGATTTTCAATATTTAACTATTGTCATTCGATATATCCTGTAAAAGATGCCTCTTATTAAGAGCTAACTAAAGATTTTTGCAGTCCGAACATAACGCCCTTATGCGTGAAGCCATCAACAAATCGGATCCACTATAACTATTGTGCAAAAAAACAAAAGTCTTTTTTCCAACGCTAGGGTTACCGTTACATTAATATCGCTACCAACGTAGCACCTTTTCATATCATATCATAGTAATCTCCTCTACCATTACCACCTCCCCTCCCCAGCCTAAACCTATACGCAGAGCTGCGCTTCTAGGTTGACGGGCTGCGGGCAGCCGTACACCTTCTTGAAGGCCGGCGTGCTGTAGCAGTCGGCCTGGCCAGGGGCGCAGTCAAACTGCTCGCAGCCAGCGCCGGGGCTCAGCGTGTTGTGCGAAGACGCGAAGGGGTTGCCCCACTCACTGTGAAGGAAACGTTAGTTAGCGAACACGAGCGAAAATGGATATCACGATGCGGATTTCGCTGAGCAAAAACTTACGTGCTGAACTCGTCTAGAGAGAGAGGAAGATGTTAGCTCGGATCATCAAAAGGTAGGTATGGAAGTGGCACGTACAGTAGGCATAGTCTGGGTTCGTGCTGAAGGAGTAGCCGAAGAAGAGAGGGCTGCTGAGAGTCCTGGTGGTTGCGATCTTTACGGTCTGCATATGCGGTTTGGTTAGCTTGCTCCATTTTCCAGCTACCTTGAAGGGATGACACATAGGTAGGTAGGCGAGGACTTACCGAGCCGGATGAGTGAAAGTTCTCAGAGAAGGTCTGTCCAGTGGCCAGAGTGGTCAGTGGACCGGCGGCACTCCCGTCGAAGGGGTAGGACTGGACGTAGATGGTGTCCGCGCAGTTGTTCTTGACAACGGCCTGTTGGGCAGAGGCGCCGGTGGCGACAAGAGCAGCGCTCACGACGGTAGCGAAGAACTTCATATTGGCGGATAAGTAAGTAGGTGGGCAGTTAGATATAATAAGGATCTGAGGAAATCTGATTCAAAGTAGATACTGGGGTAAAGACAAGATTAAGTTGAAGATCACTGAACGGGAACCTGGCTTATATGTATACGTGACACTCCAATCACGGGTTGAGGCATGGTGTTGCTACTTTGCTACCTGCTACCTGCTACCTTACTACTAAGCATAGCAATCAACAGTTCCACGATCGTATGGTCATCATATTCATCACTCTACAACAAATACGAGCGCCAATTCTCGTATTACCTTGACACGAGGTCAGGGTCACGATGCTGGATCCAATCAAGGCCATTACTCATTTCTAGGGTTCGATAGGATCCGGTCCCCGCACAAAGAGGCCCGAACGGTTTCGGGGCGTGTCTGCCGAATTCCGTACACCGGGTTCGGTCTATAAAATACCTAGGTATACATGCCTACCATTCTTAACAAAGCTACCCAGTTAGGTATTTAGGTAAGTCATTCAAATACATAGTATAATGAACACATTCTTCCGTTGTCTCGGCACCAACGTATTGCAACCAATCGGTAAATATACCCCAGCCACCACAACTCTTCACTATTCTCTCTTGTTACATAGTAGGTCAGGACCGAGACATCCGTCATAATAACGGTTGTTCCGAATATTCGCTTTTCTTCACCGCCGCTGGGGGTCAGGGGACAGCGATTTTTTTGAAGCTAGCGTCCCAATCGTCGATGCATGCCTATAGCGACTACACTATGCTTGCAAGATATCTACTAGATAGGAAAGAGCGTATTTTTGTAAGTGCATGCGTTCGTAACAAGCGCTTATGGGCTGGGCTTCTAAGGATCCGTACTACAATTACAACATCAAAGTTCCTTTCACGCTATTGGTCAGATCTCGGGGAAACACTCAACTTATTCTCTTTGACATAATTCATGTTCAGCTGTAAATCTAAATAGCACTACCTATTATGTAATCGGCTGTAGTATGTATTGACATCCATCAGAATCGCGCGTGTACTTTTAAGGGGCCGCAGGAGAGTAACTGCTAGTCTAGAATCAAAGCATTGCTCTTAGACTAGAAAGCATATTGTCCTGATGTTGCCAACTCACATCGCATGTGCGGGTCTCTTCCAATAGAAACGACAGAAGCCCAACGACCAGTCAGTTTTTAAGGTATCGTATCCGAGAGGTCACGCAGGGTAAATGCCATCGAGGCTGCCCGTCAGACACACCGCCTCCTTTTTTGATGCATCTGGCCTGGTAGGGGTGTTGAAGACGAAGAACAGGCAAGAAGGAGAAAAAAACAGGATAATAAGGAAGTAGAATAATTAATTGATGCATTACGTATCGAATATTGAAAATTGGTCGGAATAAGATCATATTAAGTGCACGTGGAAGGATGCACAAGGTACCAAGGTTAGGTTGGATGGTAAAGGTAACAGGTAGAAAGGGGGGAGGGTTCAAAAAATTTGAAATGAAAACAATAAATAAATAAAAATGAAAAAGTTGGCAAAAAAAGCTCGGTACTGCCCGGGGGTCGAATCCAGTACCTACGAAAAACTCCTGTGATCAAATCGTACTGTCAAGTTAGCGTTTTAGTGAAGGGACGCATCCAGCATATGACTTGTCGGCGGTAGTTTTCTCTCACCTCTTGTCACCCAACATGTGGGGTCGGTTGGAAGGTAGAATGCAATTATAATTTATAAGGTGTACCCGGGTGCACTCAGTGTGCCTGGCGGTAAATAGTCGAGGATTTACCGATGTGGTCGGGGACGACAAGGTTTGGTATGTTCCTTAGGTTGACAAAGTTGTGCAGGCTAGTTGGCCCTGGATAGGGGTAATTTACACGGTGAGCCCTTAGGCATACACCCAGGCTTATGTATGATAACACTGTGCCTTTACTCTCACCTAGGAGCTACATCTAGTCTCACTACTAGATATATCTATATTTCCTACTCATGAACTTTCATAATTGATCTAGCCTAATAGTCTCAGATAGTGCTTAGGGATTATATCAGTTCGTACCCCTAGGTAAAAGGTAATTATCAGGCTATTCAAATTACCATATAATAGTGTATCATTAAAGAGCATAAAATGTCTTTCTAATAGGAAATAAAGCTATGGTTAAGGGGCTCGAGACGAATATAGCTATCACTAAATTGAATAACGCCACCTACTTCAAATTACCACCGGCATTCTCGATAGGAAAGGTATACACAAAGCAAGCACCAATGGTTAGAGTACAGCAGGAGATATTACCATGTAATGCCTGGGCTTTAGGAGTCCCCTATCATCTAGGTATGGCTGAGCACTAGTTATCGACATATACTTCGTACGAAGGATTTTTCCCGGAAATCACTAGTGCATGCCACATCTAATACACGGAGATTCTACAGAGATTCTATAACTACCTACTGGCTTTTCGAGCGATGCCCTAAGTTACTCTCCCTATATAGTTCTGTTGCAGGTGCCTCAGGCACCCTTAGGCTCCACTAGAGCCATATGGCCCTTATGGCCATATATTGGCACTCCGCCATCCGTAGTTAGGAATAGAGCAAGCTTTCTTCCTTTCCTCTTCCTTCTTCTTGGTTGCAGTTGTACTGCAACAAGTTCAACCAACCTAGAGAGAAGTTACCAAAATGATAATAATAGGAGAACCTGGCCTGGCCTTATTCGAGCTCATCAGCAAAGGGAGGTCTCGTAAAACTGCATAGATACCCACCGAGACATAGAAATGGTGATAATTTGTACTAATTTTGTAGTCGTTTATATGATTTTACTGAAGATTATCAACAAAATTTTCTGCCATATGGCCCACCCAAAGGGCCAAGAAAAAACGAAGATGCTATGCGAAGAGCCACGGTCCTATACACGGATGTGTGGCCTATGCCTACATACTCAGGTATATATTATATGGGTAGTATGAACTTTCTTTATTGTTTGCGAGTTCCCTGACATATCTGTCTGACTCCTATCGCTTTTAGTTAGGCAAGTTAGGGGTTAATGTGGGTAAGACCAAAAGAGCCCCTGAAATGATATGACGTCCCCTGAGAGAGCAAAACACCATAAACTCCCTAGATGTTAGCGAAAGGGATATTAACTAACCTCAAATTCAAAGGCATAATTCAAGAGCTCAAGTATAAGTAGGTATCCAGCATTGCTTACCTAGTATTATATGTAGGTGTAAATTACTTTATGAGGTCCATAGTACCTACATAAGTACCTTAGAATGAAAATGCATCATGTTCTCAAAGACATCAATCTGATATTAGATTGGTTGAAAGACGAGGGGGCAATTTACATAGTTGTACTTACTTGGGTAGAGGAGCAGGTATCTTTACTTGATCAGTTAATCTAGAGGTACATGATCTCCAAAAAAGAATACATGTATGTATTTGAAGCTTTCAAGAGCATATGTACATATGTAGCGTCGGCAAGGAAACTGACATATCAGGTACATACTATCATTTCGAAACATTGGACTACAAAAGATCTTCAAACTTATTCATGCATATGCTGAATGTGAATGACATCCATGGATATTCCAAGATTGGTTTGCTGTAGAAAGAGATATTGTAATCACAACCTGAAGTTCTATAGCACACCTAAGTACCTATATACCTCCCAGCAGGCATTGAAAGACTGTCGAGATTCTGTCGAAATTCTGATGAAGATGAGCCATAAGAAAAACAAGGCTGTATATGAGTAGTTGCATGGCTTCACTGGTTCGATCGATAACATTTAGAGCCAACAACATGTCAAAAGCCACTCATATTGAGGTACCTAATGCGACCTACCGATGTAAGTAACATAGCTAACCTAATTGATTGGAGCCACGAAAGAAATGCAAACGGGATCTTGCGTTTGTGAAATATGAGTCAAGGTAGCAACTTGGAACCTGATGGGCTAGGTTAGGCAGGTAAATAATATATTCTATGATATACCATCTTTCCCTATAGTCCCCCTCTTCCACCACCTTCACTTCGGAAACTTCCAACTACCTACCTCACAGATTTTGACCTCACTTGAACCTTTCATCATTTCCCCTGAGTGATTGATGAGGGAGTCAAATTCAAGATGGATATCAAAGACATCTCCGGCGAAGCAAGATTTCGCGAGTGGCTCGATCAGCTCATGAAAATTGCGGCGCAAGCAAGCAGTCGAAAGGGTGAAATTCCTCGAGAACACCCTCACCCTAACCTCCTCGTTTCCCAGTTCCTGATGAAACGTGACTACCGTATCATGAAAACTGATGGTGAAGGGTATCATACGATGACCACAACGCAGATTCCTTTCCCTTACCCGCCCAGTGTCCGTCCCATGAAGGAACTTAAGCCTCTGATGGTATCGTCCATGAAACTTGAGCACCATCATCGAGGAAGCCGAGCCTTGCTTCACGTTCTGTCACCGCCCGACCGCCTCAACGCAGTCATGGCTATCGTCGAAGATGAAGAGGGCACTGCGGTTATGCTTCAGCTCTATAACCAGCCCGAGGAGGCCAAGGTTAGCAAGGAACTTATTCTACGGGAAGGAGATGTCTGCATGGTCAAGGAGCCGTTTTTCAAGGTGACTACCGATGGAAAATACAGTGTGCGAGTCGACCATGTCAGCGACATCATCTGGCTGCAGGAAACCGACTCTCGCATCCCCCTGAAGTGGAGAAAGCGAGTTTTGAGTCTTGACGAGGGCTCCCATGGCATACGGAAGCAGGGCAATGATGCAGTAAAAAAGCAGAACTGGGCTGAATCAGAACATCTGTATGTCTTACTTACTTTCAAAAAATAAAATAAAAGTAAGAGCGAACCAATGCTTAACTATTCTCACAGATACACAAACGCCATACGCAGTGCCAAGACCACAGAAGAAGAACAGTTGGCGTATCTCAACCGCTCTCTCTCAAACCTTCGTCTCGGGAGACCGGAGAAAGCCCTTGCAGATGCACATAAGAGCACTACGGACACAGCCAATCCAGGAGAGAAAGCCCTGTATAGAGAGGCCAAGGCCCTCTACTCACTTGGGAAGTTCGATCTATGTATGGAGAAGCTGATGGCCCTAGTGCGTTCCAATCCCAAGAATTCGGACGCGTGGGCCGAGATTAGACGAGTGAAAGACCGTCTCCGCGAGGAAAATGAAGGATCGTACCAGTTTAAAAAGATGTACGAGCAGGCCAAAGCTACTCCACCCTTGATAGACTGTGCAACATACGCCAAGCCGGTGGCTGTCCGTGATTCACCCGGTCGAGGCAAGGGTCTCTTCACTACGAAGCAGGTCAAGGCGGGCGATCTCCTCCTATGCGAGAAGGCGTTCGCGTACAGCTACGCTGGCGACGATAGCCCCATTGGCCGGTCGAACCAAACTATCCTGATGAACCTGGGCAACAAGTACATGTGCATGGGCGGACAGGCAAATCTCATCGGTCAGGTTGTCCAGAAGATATACCACAACCATTCTGGAGCAGACGCATTCACTAGCCTGCATCATGGAGACTATGTCCCCGTTGCGGAGTCCGAGGTTGATGGCGCTCCTGTCGTTGATACGTATGTAGCACCATGCCTATAAGTGTCAACCTCCTAGGTTAGGAAAGCTAGGTGCTAACTAGAACATACATAGATTCCTCGTCGCGAAGATCATCCAGCAAAACTGCTTCGGCGCCCCACGGACCTCCTACCAAAGCACCTCGGAAGCCGCGCGCGACACCGACGAGCTGCTGAAGCGCGACAAGTCCTCCCCCGCCACCGCCCACTCCACCTGCGGCGTCTGGCCCACTGCCTCGCGCATCAACCACTCCTGCGTCGGCAACTGCGAACGCTCCTTCATCGGCGACATGCAGATCGTGCGGGCGAGCGAGGACATCGCCGCCGGCGCCGAGCTCTTCTTCCGCTACCAGCCCCACCGCCTCCACACGACCCACGACGAGTTCCAGAAGCAGCTCCGCGGCTGGGGCTTCGTCTGCGGCTGCTCGCTGTGCCAGGACAAGAAGGTGACGCCGCCCCGCACCGTCCGCGAGCGCAAGGCCCTCTACGACTCCCTGAAGCCGCTGCTGAAGCCCGGCGCGTCGGTGGCGCAGCTCACGCGCGCGCGCGGGATCCTCGAGGCGCTGGATCAGCTGTACACGCATGCGCCGCGGCTGCCGCGCGCGGAGGTCTGGGACCCGTACTGCATGCTGGGGAACCAGCTGGTCGAGAAGGGGCAGCTGGTCGAGGGGCTGGAGATGATTCTGCGCGGGCTCGAGGCGCTCGGGTTCACGATCGTCGCGTACCCTCCGCGGGAAGCGGACGGTGGCGGGAATGGCGAGAAGAAGAAGACCAAGAAGAAGGCGGTGCTGCAGGTGAAGCGCTGGGGAGAGGCGGGCAAGTACAACGTGGATATGTTTTGTGCGATGGCGTATGTGTACGACCAGCTCGCGCCGGAGCTCTGCGGCGTGGCTAAGGGCTATGCCCGCACGGCGTACTGCATCTTCGTCGGCGAGAAAGAGACGGTCGGCTCACAGTATCCGGTTCTTGCGTAGGCGGCGGGGATCGGTGGTGTGGAAGGCAGGGACGGTGATGGAGGTGCCTGCTCTTGGGTGCCTAGTTGGGCAGGCGCTGCAAATGTCGTCGGGGATGACTTTGCAGCATAAGGCAGACAGGAAGGAGTTCTGCCTCGGACTCTTCAGGGGGTTTGTCATTATAGACACGATTACTAATAACTGTTTAATATAACGGAAAGATACCCCTTCAAAAGAATCAGACTAAGCACAATAAACCATGGTAAACTGTACAATCAGGTCAACGCCCCTGTCGAGGTGTTTGACGAGAGTTACCTATAATTACATAACAAACCGAAAGGATATATTCTTCACTCCAAAATTTAACTCATGATACCTAACTATGCCTAATTCTTATGTAGCCCCAGTCCAAGGGATGGACGTGGTACTCATCCGGTATTAGAGGGAGTTACCTCCTTAGTTCTGGTCCCAGCCTGCTTATTACAAGAACTGCATCAATGAATAAATCTGGGCTGAGAACATTCTTCCGCAACATTGACCGTGATGTGAGTCGTCGCAGATACGTATAACGAATAGTCAACGTCAAGGTATTGCCCGTAGTATCTGGTTTGAGTTCCTTCATGTGCTTGAAGGACTGCTCTATGTTTCTATCGTTGGTAGGTAATACTTAGGCTAAACAAGATCACAATGCAAGGCAATGAAAACTCCACAGAAATCGAATCTCGATCCAAATACAGTACTACTGCCAATATGGTCGTGATCTTCCTCCTTCACACCCTCTAGTCGCATTTTTCAAAAGTGTGATCAACTAACCCATCGGTTTAGTCGCTTCAATCTCTTCGATTCCTTTACACCGTATTTGCTGCTGAAGTACTAGTAGTAGGGGGGTAGGTAAAGTCTTGAATTGGGCTTTGGACTCTTGCCGGGTTCACTCAGGCCTTTCAACACTCATAATTAACTCCATCTCGACAAAAAATATCTTTGAAGTGAAGGTACCTAGTCTATGACTGTGTCACCAGATCACGATGACTACCCCCTATTCAGAACTCTTCAAACTCAAATCGGTTACCAGTGGGGGGATAACTTTGAATGCTAGTCCAATAGGTGTGTTGCCGACGGCATTTCCCCGAAGCATGGGAGAGAACACAAAGAGGTGCATGCTGCGCTAAACAAGGAGTTGAAGAACTTATAACCTGATTATACACCTACCCCTTTCCACTTTCCTTCCTCTTTGATCGCCTTACCTTATGATCCGCCTAGTAGTTTCTACACCGTATTATATAGGTAGATGATACCAAAATGCTCGTGTATATGAAGCTAGCCATCGGAAAAAACCCGAAGGTTATTACTAGTATTCAGTCCAAAGGCTTAGGGTATCTGCCTAGTAGGTATCTCGGGGTAAGGGGGAGCGACTCTAAGCATGATATGGGCTATAATCACTTGGCTACCTACTCACTAATATATAACTAGATGCCATTCTCAAGAAGCATGATGGTCTATTTTATGGGCATTCCGTTTGACTCACCATATTCTCTTCAACTGCCTGCCCAGGCAGCAACGTAGGATTCTAGGACTCGGCCGAGCCGGGTCGCAATCTACCACCCAAGAATTCTTGGCCTGTCCTTTCTATACCCGTTTGAAATGGGAATGCAGCGACAGGACGGAGTTGAAATCCATAGTGACGGAACATATTCATTTCGCTAAGGGCGAACTCCGCGGATGATTGGTCATGGCCTCACTTTCGGGACTAGCAAGCTATTCAGCTTTGGCCTTGTTATAGTGTCGTTATACTCCTGCAGTAGCCTCTACTCTACTCTAAGTGCCTAGCCCTAGGGTTGGCTTAGCTCTCTATGCAGCCCCATATACATTGCATTGCATCGTAGGCGGCTGTGATAGTCTCGTCACAACCTTTATCTCCGTAGGTACTGGGTAGGGCATACTGCAGTGGCACTGTATCTTGACTATGAAGGTGTGACTAACAACTAAATGCTTAATTTAACCCTAGGTCCAAGGTGATTGGCATGAAGAAACGCGTGATGTTGACTGGCTACCAGCCTACCTTGGTTGGTTGGTACTGAGTAATAAAGTATTGGAAGTATTCTAATCATTTTGTATATAATATATAAAACATTTAGCACTGTTTTTGACCTAAAGCCGTCCCTGGATGCATAATTCCTTCCGAGGTTGCGGTAGTCGATAAATATTTGTGTCTATACCTGTGGGGGTTTAGACACTACCAGCTAACTAAGGGGGTTGAAGCGCGAGCTAATGTGAAATAGATACCGGAGATCCTCTTTAGTACCTGCGTCAAAACAAGTTCAGGGGAAATGAAAAAGATCCTTCGTTAGGACTAGGAAAATAAATAAGGTCCCGCTCAAGTGAATTCAAGTTCCGAACCGCGAGATATTCATTCTGAATGTTTTTGATGCCGACGAAAGATTGGTATTTGATTATACCCACCTAGATAGGTGGACACCGCGATCAAATAGTCAGTATAGTTCTATAGACCCTTAGTTATTCGCACGTCGTCATGAATGGCGACGATCTTTCCTCGTTCGCATAAGATTCTCCATTAGACAGACTCATTCTAAGCGAGCCGCAACTTAGCCCAACGAGAAGGTAAGCCCTTGTCCTGGCTCACCTAGATCTCAATCGACTCCCCCCTTAGGGCGAGTCAACTGGCCTATGAGATGATTCTGTGCCGCTCGTTGTGGCTCCAATCATTCGGCCGACTGGGCCGCCTAGTTGCCTCCTCCCCTTGTCTTCCGTTCCCAATGCACCGTTGCGCCGGGCCTAGGCTTTAAGCGCTAAGCTTGTTCCTGAAATTCTCCAGACTTAGTAACATTTGTCACCTCCCCAAGTCTCAACTGCTGCCTATTATACATGCCTCGGAGTTAATGCATGATTACAATCGTCCGATTTTTGTCTGTCACCTTCATAGTGCATGCCAACACCACTAATGTCTGCTTCGGCGCGACGTCCCTTTTTAGGACGGTCCATTGACTCCATTCTATACTGAAGGCTCGGGGAAATTAGAAAGGGGAATTTTGAGAAGAGCAACCATAGTAATATACTCATTTTACCCACTCATCGTAGGACTTCGTTATTTCTAGGGTATGGCTGTCCCTGTGATGAGGAGGTGCCTACTACCTGAGTACTAGGCAAGCAACTCCAAACTAGGGGGAGGCTACGTAGTTCCTGTAGGTAGGCTAGATAGAACGAGTGCTCTTAATTCGGAAGCCGGTCTCATGCTTTCTCTTCTTCTTCTCTTCCTTTCCTTCTCATCAACATCCGTCAAGTTGACAAGAAACAGGCCGTTAAGCTAGCCGTGGCAGACATCTTGTTTGCGTCCTTTCGTTGAGTCGCTTGACAGTCACATTCATTACGGTTTCGGCCACTTTACGATCTTTACATATCAAAAAATCACTTAATATAATTCAAGATGCAGTTAAAAAACTCAGTATTAGCCGTCGCTCTTTCGGCTTCGTCAGCTTTGGCTACGTACACAAAAGACTACAAACTTAACACTTACTGGGTACGATAACAGACTATAAAGGAAGTCTAGAAGATACGGATGCTTACTATTATTCTATAGGGACAATCAGGACCCAGCACTGATTTCTTGGGGACTCACTGTGAATCTGATAGCGTCGACTTTGTTACTCTGGCGTTTGTGAATAACTCGCCAGCAAATGGAAATGGAACCGACTACCCGGGGACGAACTTTGCTGCTCACTGTGCCGCGGAGGTTTACGTGAACAATGACCGAAACTCCAAGCTTCTCAGCAGCTGTTATTTTATCAAGGATGATATCAAGAAGTGCCAGAGCCTCGGAAAGAAGGTTCTGCTATCTATTGGAGGAGAATACACTACCGCCAGTGACTATTCGCTCGGATCTGTCCAGGAGGGTATCGACTTTGCCAACTTTCTTTACAAGGCCTTTGGCCCCTATAAGTCGGGTTACACAGGACCCCGACCTTTCGACCCGAGCAGCACGGTGCATACCTCTGTCGATGGTTTTGACTTCGATATCGAGGTGAAGTTCGGTAAGACCCAAATAACTTATTATAATCCCGTGTTCGAGTAAACCGTTGCCTCTAGGTACCTACCTAGTATATCGGCGGAAACGTGCATATTTCCCTGTAATAGATTATTAACCCCCGTTCTTAGATGACCAACAACCGTATATCAGCCTGGTTAACCATCTCCGCGATCTCATCACGGCCGACAACGCGGGCCTGATCCTCACCGCTGCTCCCCAGTGCCCCCAGATCGGGGACTACTTCCAGATGAAGGATATCCTGCAACAGGCCCGATTCGACAAGATCTGGGTCCAGTTCTACAACAACCCGCTTTGCGATGCCGCGGGTCTCGGCTTCAACTACGACGACTGGGAGGATTTCATCACCGGGGGTGTCAACGACGCCGCCGAGCTCTTCATCGGACTTCCCGGTAGCATCGATGCTGTTGGTCTGTTCGGTAGTGGCTACGTTCTCCCCTCCGTGGCGCAGAACCTGATCTGCGCGTATAAGAATAAGCCGCACTTTGGCGGTGCCATGTTGTGGGACGCTTACTACGCTTCTGCTAACCAGAACCTTGCGGGGAAGAACTACTACGACTCGATTGCTGAAGTGTTAAAATGTGGTGGCTGCGAGGATGATGTTTGCGCGCCGGTTCAGACTAGCAGCTCGGTTGTAGCTTCATCGACGACCACTTCGTCTACCGCCTCATCTACTTCTTCGACCCTTAGTGCTACGTCAACCTCCAGCTCCACCATAAGCTCGGAGACCTCTTCATCGACATCTTCGTCTACGAGCTCATCCGCAAGCTCCTCCGCCGAGTCTTCTACCACCAGCTCGTTTACCTCCGCTTCCGCCTCCACCTCGAGCGCCACCGAAAGCTCTACTTTGAGCGCAACGGAAAGTTCTAGCTCCACTTCGACCGCCACAGAGAGCGCGTCCACTTCTTCAATTGCAAGCTCCTCCACGTCGAGCGACGTAACAAGCACAAGCAGCAGCGCTTCTGCTACGTCTAGCAATGCTTCTACCTCCGCTTCTGTCGACCCTACGAGCAGCGCTATCGTTTCCGTTTCTATTTCCGTCTCTATCCCGGTTGACCCCTCAACCAGCGTGACCGCATCGAGCACGATCTCTAGCAGCAGCAGCAGCTCTTCTGCCTCCAGCTCTTCTGCTACCTCTAGCAGTGGTGCTTCTACCTCCAGCAGCGCTTCTACTTCCGCCCCTATCGATCCCTCAAGCAGTGCCTCTGCCTCTGCCTCTGCTTCTGCTTCTGCCGATCCTTCGAGCAGTGTTTCCGCTTCTACCTCTGCTATCGTGACTGTGTCCGTTTCCGTCTCTATCACACTCGATCCCTCAACCAGCGTGACCGCATCAAGCACTATCTCCAGCAGTGTTTCCACTTCGACTATTGGTTCCTACATCATTAGCTCCAGCAGCTCAGAAGCCGTCAGCGACAGCACCGCAAGCTCCTCTTCCACGAGCTCTTCTACCGCATCGTTTACTTCCAGCTCTGCGACAACGACCACCGAGTCCTCTACCAGCTCGCTGATTACAAGCACCAGCAGCAGCGCTGTTTCGTCAATCACCACCGCTTCCAGCTCCACCTACAGCATCTCGACAACAACATCGTCCGACGACGACGACGAGGACTGCACTGATGATGAGCGCTCGACCTCGTTCGTGGCGTCTTCGACCGTCAGCGTATCAGCTTCCACCACCGCATCGCAGAGCGCTACCGCATCTCAAACCGCTACCGCATCCCAAAGCGCCACCGAGTCCCAGAGCGCTACTGTCTCACAGAGCAGTGCCCTAACTCTCAGCAGCAGCAGCAGCAGCAGCGACAGCTACCCGACTCTAACTCAATCCTCCTCAAGCGCCATCACCACCTCCTCGGCCCACCCCACCACCAACACCACCATCGCCTCGACGCCCGTGCAGTACACGACCAGCACCGTGATGACGACAAAGGTCTACACCGTCACCTCGTGCGCCGCCACCGTGACCAACTGCCCGGCCCGCGGCGCTGTTGTCACCGAGACGATCGCGCTCTACACCACCGTGTGCCCCGTGACCGCGACCCAGAAGTCGACTATCACGATTCCTACGAGCGGCGCGGTTTCCGGCACGAAGAAGACGGGGTTGACTGTCACTGCGACTGCTCCTGCTACTGTGTCTGTGTCTGTGTCTGTAGGCAATGGAAACGGAAACGGAAACGGTGAGACCACCATCGCAACTTCGTACCCGATCGCCAACACCGGCAAGACAACTGCAACGGGATCTACCGCTACTACCACCACCGTCCCTGCCGGTAACGGTAACGGTAACGGTAGCGGCAGCGGCAGCAGCGCGACCACATCCGCCGCAGTCAAACCTACGCACCCTACCCACCCCATCGGCAACGGTGGCAGCGAGCACCAAGTCTCGGTCTCCGAATCCGCACCCGTATCAGCCGCCACGGCGCCCAGCTACCTCGCTGGCTCCAGCAGCAGCAGCAGCACCGCGAACATCGTTGCCACCACCATGACCTACGCGCTGTACCCCACCGGTGGCAACAACAACAACAACAGCAGCAACACCAGTGCTACTGGAACGGGATACCCGATTGCGCCTGTGCCGACGAAGACGGCGGGCAGTGGAAGTGGGAGCACGGCGATCACGTGCAACGGCAAGGACTGCACCGCGGCGTCCCCGACGGCGTCGGCGGTTATTGTGACGGCGGGCGTGGGGAAGATGGCTTCTTCTTTTGGGTTGGTGGTTGCTGGGTTGGCTTTGGTGATGTAAATGTAAGGGGGGGGAATGGTTCTGTTGAATATTATGAGGAGGGGGTGTGGGATGGATGAATTGGATTGGATTGGATGGGAGGAAAGGGGAAGAAAAGATACTTGGCCTTGTTCTGCAGTTATTACTATCTACTATGTAAGTAGGTAGAGAATAGAGGTTGATTATACCCGAATACTTGATGGTTCTTTAACGTTTATTTTTTGGCATTTGCAAACGCAGAATACTTTACGTGCAGTGATAAGTTGTACTTGAGATTTGTGGCACAGAAGTCAATCACTGTCAATGTAAAATCCAAAATGGTCAGTTATGTAGATATTGACGCGAAAGGAAAAGGAAAGGAAAGGGGAATATACACATGTACCTAGGTACAGATAGAACAGATAACTACTTCGTAGAGGCTTCAAAAAGAAAAATATATGCATTAGCCGCGAATCGAACGCGGGGCCCATCGATGGCAACGATGGATTTTACCACTAAACCACTAATGCAATTGAAACTGTCATTGGTTGGTGGACATATGTTAAGAGGTGCGTTAAGACAATATATATACCTCATGTCACTCCTACAACTAGTCAAGTTAGGTACTATCATTGGCTAGTATGTTTTCGGCTAGTTACCCTGTACCTGATACCTCCTCGCCCTCCCTGAATTGAGTTTACTTGACGATTCAATGTTATTTTCTAACTTTCTATTCTTCTTCTGTGCTTCATATTTTATATTCTTCTTCTATACTTCATCTTAGTCCAGTATCATGCATTCTACATCCTCACACCCTTACTATCCGTAGCCCACTTGATACCTCGCTCCTTGCCAATCATTCCATCCGTAACCCCTTTGATCTCATTCTCACACCAAACGTTATCACCCGCTGTATTTGCAAGCGCGAAGCCAAAGTCGGATAGAAACTCGGGATCTACCGTGCCCACTGCCATCGCGATCTCGTCGCGCGACTCGTGCCGCCAATACAAGAAGCTGCCGCAGTTGCTGCAGAACCCTCGCTGGATACCTGGCGTCGCGTAGAAGTTCTTGAGAGTTGTGGTCGGTGTCAGGTAGGTGAAATTCCCTAGAGGGACTGTATGCGCTACGTAAAATAGACACCCTGTCCCGCGTCTGCATTGGGTGCATTGGCAGCTTCGGCTCTGAAAGTCAAAGTATGGGTGGTAAGCTAGGTACAATACATAGGTAGACGACAGGCAACATCTATTCCACTTGCCTGGTGCAGGAAATCATGGTCCTCGGGGAAGTCGGCGCGATATTTGATTGAACCGCAAAGACAGCCACCCGTGATGAATTTTGGCTTGGGGAAGTTCTCAATAGTTGGTGATGATCCAGACATATTGAGCTAAGCAGATGCAAGTTGGAATAATCCCCTAAGCTCAGATCTGCCTCTTTCTTTCTTTCTAACGTGTTTTCCTTGAGATTTATACTCAGTTTTGACGACTCGAATTCAATGAAAGCTTATACCATCCCCGCTTGTCAAACGCGCCCTACGCTAATGTCGCATGACGCCTCTTCTCCCTCATTCTTTGCTGATAGTGGCCCTATCTTACAAGTATACACATTGAATATATTGAAGACTTTAGTAGATCAATCCATCTCATCGTTATAATACCAATAGTCAGTCGCTATTGAGCAAAGCATCGCAAATATGGCCATCTCACATCATCAGATACGCCAATAATTACCACTCGCAAGTGGCATGACATAAGCAACACTCAAACTCCACGGAACTCCGTGGAAAGATTATCACACAGAGCTTCAGGAAATACACCTAGGCTTGCTTTAGTAATAGAGGCATAGTAAATCAAGGAAGGATGCCATATTGATGTGATTGGGTGACAAATAGGTATTGTGTGACAAATAGGTCACTGGGAAATGTTCATGAGTTTCTGGGTGGGTAATGGCTGCATACCGGATAGGTAAGAGATACTAGGTAAGTAATACTCTAACCTAGGTACTCATTCTCAAATATAAATATGTGTGACCCCTTTGCTGGTACGAACGCACAACATGGATGAGTTACCAAATCAGCATCAGCTTGAGACAGGTAGACAACAATGCATTTTCCACGAACACTCTTCTCGGTCGTCTTGTCCCTATCGACATCGACAGTCGAGGCGCAAGCTCCACCAGTATCCCAGCAATCCACCGGCTTCAACTCCAGCTTTGCCTTAAGCCCTTCCCAGATAGCATCTGCCAACCTATCAGCCGAGCTAGCAGCTAGAATCAACACCATCGTCAACTTCGACCGCTCCCAGCTCGCCAATGGCGGTCCCGCCGAAGACAGCTTCTACTCCCTCCCGCCCCTCACCAACACATCATCGTTGAAGCCGGGCACCATCCTCAAAGTCCAGGAATTCACCAACACGACGAGCTTCGTGCTGCCGCCCAACACCGCGCTCTCGCGCATTTTATACACCACCACCAACCACAACGGGACCGTGATCCCGGCCTCGGCTTTCATCCTCTGGCCCTTCGCGCCCAAGACATTCCCTCAAGCCCAACCCCAAAATCAAAACCAGAACAATCACGCCAAAGCCCCCACCATCCTCTGGGCCCACGGCACATCCGGCTTCTTCGCCTCGCGCTCCCCCTCCTCGCACCGCGCCCTCTGGTACGGCGACGCCGCCCCCTTCGCCCTCGCCCTCGCGGGGTACGCCGTCGTCGCCCCAGACTACGCCGGCCTCGGCATCTCCACATCATGGGACGGCAGCAACATCCCGCACCAGTACCTACTCTCGTCCGCCTCCGCCCACGACGCGCTGCACGCCTTGCAGGCGTCTCTCGCCGCTTTTCCGGGCCGCCTCGAGGAGCGCTTCGTGGCGATGGGTCATAGCCAGGGGGGCGGGGTGGCGTGGAGCGTTGCGGAGGTGCTTGCCGCCGACGAAGAAACGGGGGTGTTCGCGGACCTCGCAGCGGGCTACCTGGGCGCCATAGCCGGCAGCCCCACGACGCGCGTCTTCCCCAGCAGCAGCATCGCCGCCCTCATCGCCCCCTGGGTCTCCCTCGCCCTCCCCTCGCTCTTCCCCTCCTCCTTCGAGCCGGGCATGTGGCTGACGCCTCTCGGGATCGCGCGCACGCGGCTGTTGCGGGAGATCGAGGGCGGGATTAGTGTTTCGATGCAGCTTTTTGAGGAGGGGGAAGGGGCGAGGGTGGTGCGAGAGGACTACTACGAAAGCACTTGGCACGCGGAGGCGTACGAGCGGATCGCGGATGCGGGGGGCAAGCGGTTTAAGGGCCCGTTGGTGGTGCTGCAGGGGACGGAGGACCCGTATATTCCGGTCGAGGGGACGACGCGGGTCGTGCGGGAGACGTGTGCGGTGAGCGGCAACGGTAGTGTGGACTTGGAGTACGTGCTCGTCAACGGCACAACGCACGTGCCGACGCTGTACGCGACGAGGCAGGTCTGGCTCCAGTGGATCGAGGACCGGTTTGCGGGGCGCCCGCTAAGGAAGCCCGGGTGCGGCGGCGCGACGGAGATAAAGAGCTGGCTGGAGCTGGATAGGTACCAGGAGGTGGGTAACTCGTTCCCGATGTGGGCGGGCGCGGAGGAGTTTACGTATCAGACGCCGTTGGGGCCGTAGGCGGGGTGATATTTGATGCTTGATGTAAGTAGGTAGGGAGGGGGAGAGGTAGGCGTTTGATGTAGGTATGGAATGGTGGGTTTCGCTGTTGCATGCTTTCTTTTGCTAGATATATGTAGATTCTGTTCTGCCTAGTACCTGCGTACGGTTTCCAATGATAAGAGCTTAGGATAGCACATATGAATAGAACAGGTCTCCATCGAGCTCAACCTCGGATCGCCAAATCATTATGTGTCTTCCATTTCATCTTACTAATGGAATTCCTGTATTCAAGCTTTCCTTCTCTAAACCGATTTTCGAATAACTTTTCTTTTGTACGTAACATCTTGACACCAGCGTCGCATAGCCGTTAATCAAGTCCCCTCACTCACTCACTCACTCACTCACTCACACTCACACATTCTCTCTCTCACGATATTACCGTCGGCTCAACCAGCACCGGCACGCTATCATCCCTCAGCCCCCACGAGCACTAAACCATTCCGTTAGCATATTTGCCCAACTTACTTACTAAGTACCTACCTCCTTGGCACCAAAACAGGTCAAACAAAAGGGGGGGGGGAACACTCACCGTCCCACTCCCCCCACAAACCCCCTCCAAATTCTCACCCACCTCAAAATGCTGCGTCCCGCTCAACGTCGTCGCCTCCTCTGCCCCCCTCACCACCAGCGTAAACCTCGCGTCCACATTCTCCGTCGGCGACGAGTAGTTCGCGCCGGGCGGGTTCTCGAGCTCCAGCGTCCAAGCCGCGTCGGCTTCTTCCGTCGTGCACGCGTAGCCGGTCCCGTACGGCTGCGCGGGGTAGGTCCACTCGACGGTGCAGTTGGCTGTGCTGGCGGGGGTGGATGGGGCAGAAGAGGAGCCGGGGTTGCTGATGGTCGCGCGGATGAAGAACGAGTAGTCGCTCCCGGGGCGCTCGGCGGGGGAGTGCGTGTTGAAGACGGTTACTTGCCATGCTGGTAGGGGGGAGGCGGAGTGGGCGGTGGAGGAGAAGAAGGTGCCCGTGAGAGCGAGGAGGAGGGGGGTTTGCTTCATTGTGGTGGTGGGAGGGTGGAGTGTTTGAGTTTGTGGTGTTGGTTGAGAAAGAGATAGATGGGTGAGTGGATGGATGGATTGGGTAGATGACTTACGATATAACAAGTGATGACTATAGCTTTATAAAACTCGTTTTACTAACCTTGGAAAATACCTGCATTTCCACAGCTGCATATTCTGAGACATATCGCGATGTACCTGCCTACCTACCTACAGTACCTACTACAATCACGTAACGTTAGCTTACCTACCTATAACGTAGCACTTGCCAGTGAATCTAGACCAAGCCAGCTTACAGCTAGATATGAATGACCCAGTAGAAGGGAGAAGGTTGTTGTTCATTCTTGTTCGAAGGAGCCGGGTAAATGGGAGGCAACGAATGATCCCTAAGCGCGGTATGTCAGAACTAAGAATTGGGATACGAGGTAACACAGCATACATGCTCATACCTCATGACAGCATGCTTATTTTTTTAGGCGTAATTTGAAGGATCTGTGGCTTTCATGACCATCGTCTCTTGTTCTATTGCTTAGGTACTACCTAGGTATATAGGTGGTTGATGGCAATGCAGGCTGTTACCTAGCTTTAAATCCTGAAAGGTATGGTTGCATGTAGGGCTGGAAAAGAAAGAATGTGCAAATTAAATGTCTACTATACGGTATACTATCCAGGCATATCCAGCGAGATGCTACCTGCCTCGGCACGAAAAAGGGGCGTGGCGGAGAACATTCAATCGGAGTAAGTTTACGGAGCAAGCCTCGATGGTATGTATGTATGTATGATGTAGATTTTTACAGTCCTAAGTTAGATACTCCGCAAGCCTTCTTCGCAACGAGTCCAAAACGTCCCTCCCCTCACCCTGCAACCCCTCCTCATCTCCCAGCCCCCCCAGCCGGCGGCTTCGCGCCCGCCTCGTCGGGCCAGTCGCGGAACAGATCGCGGATCTTGTCGAGCGGCGCCGTCATGAGCCCCACCGCCGTCTCGAACGGCGGCTTGTTGGGCGCGCTCGGGTGGCTGCGCGTCGGCGTGAACGACTTCGTCATCTCGAACTGCTGCGCCAGGTGCTGCGAGCGCATCGGCAGGATCGCTTCCTCCAGCTTGACGAGGTCGTGCTCCTCTTCTTCTTTGATGTGCATCTTGAGGTCCTTCATCAGGTGCTCGAGCGTGGGGAGGAAGGCGGCGTCGCCGGGGTGGAGGTTTTGTAATTTGTAGAGCTGTTCTTTGGTCTGGGGTGGTTTGTTAATAGAGCTTGATTGATGGAAGGGGAAAAAAAAAAGAGAGAAAAGAAGAAAAGGAGAAAAGGGGTTGTGCGTACCAATTGGTGCTCTGCCCGATCCTTTTCCGCCATCTCGTGCCCGCGATTGAGACCAGTCTCAATCGAAGGATAGACGACAATCTCCTCAGCTATCGAATGCCTCGTCAACTCCCAGACAAAGGCATTCTGGTACTTTCGCTGAACCGCGTGATCCCTCGAGTTGATGATCTTTTCATAGTATCTCTCGATTTCTCGGTGGTCATGGTGAATCACCGCCGAGATACTGTCGGCCTGCCCCTTGCGAATATTTCGGCTTCTACTTTCTGTTTCGCTGCTGTATTTACGGGCTTGTTCTCCCTTCCTCAATGCCACTGATCCGCTGGGCCCCCATATGCGAGCTGCCGGTGCTAGTACCGGTGTTGCTCTAGCACAAACTGGTCGAAGTGCTTGTCGCAACATATTGGTGATATTCTTAACATTCGATGAACGTACTACTTAATACCTATGGCGAATCTGAAAGATAAATAAATAGCTCACCTTGGCAAAATGAAGTCGAAATGTCGAGAAACTGACAGCTATTAATTAGGTATCTGTTGTACTTAGCGTGGCGTCAAAGACCTAAACAGATGACGACTCGTTGCTGTAATCCAGACGTATTCGATGTGTCTAGTCCGGTCCATTCTTAACTATTGGTGACGGACCAACAAAATCAACTGTTCACTATTTAGAGAGTCGATGACGCTACCAAGTCAGGAGATGCAAGTCTTCTCGGCCGAGATAATGCATCAAAAACATAAATTCATTAAGTATGTGGAAATTTATCTAGGTACGAGTCAGGCATCGTTTTCCTTCTCCATCCCAAATTATCCATGCGTGTACTCATATCTCAGGTAGGTAGGTAGGTAGGTAGGTGCCTAGCTTGGTATATACCAGGTTCATATATATGTAAATCACCTCCACGTCGCCGACACCGTCGAGGCACTCGCCGCCGCGCACGCGCTCGGCACGGTGAACGAGCGGTTCGGGTCGCTCTCCCACGCGACCACAGTGCCATCAGAAGCGACCTTGACGAACTTGTACTCGAAGGAGGTGCCAGCGGCCAGACTCAAGGTCGTGGTCCACAGCGGGTTGGAGGCGGTGTACGAGGCGGCGGACAGCGCGGGCGCCTTGCTCACGTCCCAGCTGCCGAGCGCGGAGATCGAGCCGACCATCTTGATGGTCTGCCCGTACGTGGTGACGACGGACTCGCTGATGGACAGCGACACGGCCCCAGCGGTGGAGGTGCAGGCGGCGGCGGTGGTTGTGGAGGTCTTGGATGCAGTGGCGGTCGAGGTGGGGGTGGACCCGCCGCTGTTGTTGTCGACGATGGCGATGTCGGCGCACGACAGGTATACTTGAGGCGTCTGGAACGAGTTCCACTTGAAGGACAGCAGTGTGTGGTTGCTCACGTACTCGGGGATCTTGATCTTCTTCGACACAGTGTACCCGCCGGCGATGGTCGTGAAGCACGAGTTCAGCGCCGCGTTGTCGACACCCTTGCACTTGGTCTGGTCGCCGTTGTCGAACCCGTTGCACGTGAACCAGTCGTTGCGGTAGCACGCCTGTCCCGACTGGCAGTCTGGGTTGTATCCGCAGTTCTGCCCGTCGACGTCTGTGCAGGGCAGGAGTCCGGCCTCGAAGCAATCCTCCGCTGCCTGCTTCTCCGCGTCCGTGGGCAGGTAATTGGGGTCTAGGAACTTGTCGACCAGGTCCTGGTCTTGGCAGATTCGGTACGTAAACATGCCGCCGTGGTCGCCGTTGTGGTCAACGCACCACTGCACATCAATCACCTGGCCCGGCGTGTAGGTGGCCACGGTCTCGGTACCCCAGTCGGCTCCCGGCTTGTTGTAGTCGACACTGACACGCGCATTGTATCCGCAAGGGCCACTGCGGCCGATGGCGGCCGAGTCTAGGTCGGGCCACGCTGTCACCGGCTCAAGAATGGTACATTCCGGGCAAGTATCGATACCTGACTACATATTTGTGATTACTTGTTAGCTTTTCCATCTCTATCTTGAGTGATAGGGAAATGTAAGTAGGTACCTCGGAGCCAAGACGGGTGCGGCTGGAGGGAATAGTCAAATAACCATGTCCTCGCACCAGAGTGGTGAGGCCGGCGCTGGCCAAGATGGAAACTGCCTTCATCTTGTAGGTAGTTGATGCCGAAAGTAGATCGGATGCAAAGGCTTGGAATGATGCTACAAGTGTAGGCGGAAGCAGTGATGATGATGCAGTTGGTTGGTGGTTGTGTATTTCGACAATACTAGCGAGATAAACGACTCCTATATATATTTCTCGGCATGACTTTCACGATGAAATTATCACGGCGAGTGTGTGAGAAGGCCCGAAATGGTGGATGAAAACTACGAGCATGACGTTGCTGAACCTGTAGCCAACGCCGACTTATTTTACGATTCTACGACATGCCGCCGAGTCCATCTCCGACCCTTCCTACTCTATAGGTGGCATGTTATTCGGAGTATAAAGCCTTGATATTAGAAGGGGTTGTCTAGTACCGCACTCAACACTAAGCCGCATAGCTCCGGGCGTTTGTCGGTAGCTTCTAGGCGCTGCTTGTGGGAAGGGTGGGAATGACCCCTGATTTGGGGCATCGATGTTATGCATAATAACCTGGGGTATATATGTGGCACCCCGGACCAGGCCCGTAGTGTAGAGCGGTACCCTAGGCTCGGCACCATGCTGGATCGAGTGTGCAGCGCGGGGACCCCACAGCAGTTGGGGTCTGGGGCTGAAGCTATCGCCAAGATCCATCGCGTTCTCCCAGACCCTGTTTCTTCGATCAAGATTCCATCACGGGCAGCCAAACACGAGCCGAGAAAAAGGCCGGATGGAACTCCTCTTGTCTTCTTTAAGCCCTTTAAGCACCACACTGCCGTTCCGCAGGCTTGCATCAAGTTACCATCTAACTCTATAGCGATTCCATACCTAACCGACCTTTCGTTTCCACTTTCTCAGGGGTGCACCAGTTAGCCCAGTCAAATCACGATCATCAAACCCCGACGCTAGGACTCCGACTATGCCTTCGGTCCGCCTTCATGGTCCTCCTATCCAGTAAGGCCTCGGCATGCCCCGATAGGTCGGAGAAATAGGCCAAGTCAACACCAAAACACTATAGCCGCAGTCACATGCTTAAGACGAAGACCACAACCTCTACGCAATAATCACGGGTTTTTTTTCTGTGATGCGAATTGTATTGACACACTTGTATAGGACCCCTATTCATACATTTTTTTTCGCGCCCATCGTGGTAACAGCGTCATTTCGGGAATTGCCCCATTAATTTTTCTCTCTTCCCCTTTTCACTACATCCCCATTTTCAATCATTAAATCGTAAATTCATCAGTCGCAAAGGATAAGGGGGTATCAAGCTGGAGCGACTAGAGATGAGAGACAGAGAGAGAGATGGAGAGAACGCAAAATTCACAATTTTTTTCCACTCCGGCTATGCATCAAGGACAGCGTGACCTTCCTTCGGCCTTTTCTCCTTTTGTCTTTTTTTTTTCTTAAATCACAGTACCTGGAAGTGCTGTTTCGACCTTCCTCTTGTAAACTAGGTATTTGGCTAGCAGTTAGTTGTCTTGGCTTCTCTTCTCACTTGACAGAGTGGCGAGCTGCCATGTGCATCATCATGTAGGTAGGAAGGTAAATGCCTACAAACAAGAGCGCACTTTGAAGCTTCATTTGCTCGACTGGTCCGTCGCTGCATCTGGGTCCCAAACTGCCTCGATGATGCTCATGCGGCAGCCCTTCGGTCGTGTAACCCCCTATAGTTTTACCTGATCAGCATTCCAGTCTCTTACTGACAGAGTTTTCCACCATCTTACGCCTCTCAGACCACAAAAAAAAGAAAGAAAAAAACCAGAAAAGGTTTGTGAGTGACTTACCTTAAACACGAACCCCTCCCCAGCCAGCTTAAACAGCGTCCTAAAGCCCTCCTCATCCCTCTCCTGCGCATTCAGCAGCGTCATCATGACGAGATCCATGCTCCTCATCTGCCTCTCGTCCCAGGGGTCCTGCGTGCCCGGTTCGCCAACGCAGTAATCATTGACGATGATCCGCGCGCCCTTCTTCAGCGCCGGGATCAGGTTCTGCAGGATCTTCACGGCGTACGGCGTGGAGTGGTTGTGCATGATCCAGCGGAAGAAGTAGACGTCGGCGCCGCGGACGGGCTGCTCGGTGAAGAAGTCGTGGGCCTGGAACTCGATGCGCGCGGCGACCTGGGCGTCGGCGCTGACGGGCGCCGGCGCGCACTCGATCGTCTTCGGCAGGTCCTGCGCGACGAACCGCATGCGCCGGTACACCGTCGCGAGGTGCACGCACGCGAAGCCGTGGCTGCTTCCCAGGTCGACGAGCGTCCCGCCGCGCGCGTCGACGTCCGACAGGTCGCACCCCGACGACAGGTGCGAGAGCTGGTACCCCTCGCCGGCGACGAGGCTGCTCATCGCGAGCGCCATGCGCCGCGCGCGCGCCGCGTCCTGCCCCATCGTCACGAACATCGGCTCGCGGTCCACGGTGTCGAAGGCGAAGTTGAAGCCGGTGCGCGTCAGGCTCGTGGCCTCGGGGTACCGCTGGAGCGCGTCGAGGACGTGCGCGGAGGAGGGGAACACGTCTTCCGTGTTGAAGCCGACCCAGGCTTGCAGGGACTCGTCGGAGGCGAGGGCGAGGGAGGCGGCGGTGTGCGCGATGGAGCCGGGCTTGGGCTCCCGGAATACGTGGTTTGTGATGGCGTGTCGGACGAGGCGGACGAGGTTGACGGGGTCGAGGGAGGTTTGGCATTGCAGTTGTGAGAAGGTGATGGTGCCTTCGCGGGGCACGAGTTTGGCTGGAGGGGTGGTTAGTATTCGTAGTTAACTGTTACCTATTTTCATATAGGTAGTAGGATATGTATATGCATATCAAGTAATGGGGAACACATACCAATTCCATAATGGTTGATCAACTGCAGGGCTTGTGTGTTGATGAACTGTTTCACCAGTTAGCAAACATGTCAGGATATGCGCTTATTGCCACAACATCATCATATGGGTGAATTAGGAGATAAACACCATCGTGAGCTAGACGAAGTCTAGGAACCTAGGTACGGAATAGGTACATGGATCACTTACATCCCAAGCCATCCATCGAACCGACTCCCTGGGTCCAACCATGAGATCATGCAGTTCTTGAGTAGCATGAATAACTTCCCTTCGGCTTCGGGAGATGTCATCCGGCATGTCCGGGAAGTCGTTGGGGGCATCTACATCGAAACTCGGAGTCTGCAGGCCGTTCTCTCGGAAGTAGGCCTCGACCTTCTCGGTCTCCTTGCTGATCTTCTGGGTAAGCGTGATCATCAGGGATGGCGAGGTGCTGGACCCCTTCTTCTTGGGAGATACTGGAACTCTGACCATGTTGCTGCTGCTGTTGTCTATGTCTTCTGACTCGCACTTCTGACAGTGGTGTTTCTTCTCGGGTGAGCTGGTCGATAATTCGGGTGCAGAAGGTCTGGGGCCCTGTTTCATGAACTCTGTATTTGACGGGTTAGGAGGGGGTGAAGGTGAAGCGGGATGGAACCAGGAAGCTAATCTGAGCCTGACCATTTTTAATAACTTTTCTCCGGGGGGGCTAAACTGACTGACGATGATGTTTGTGATGTGATGCGATGTGGAGCGAGGCGGGGGTGCCAAGATAAATACCCAGCGCAAAAAAAGCAGAAGCAAAAGAAAAAGCAAATAAGAACAGAACAAATTTATGTTACGTACAGGTTGGTTGTAAATAAGCCAGTAGAAAAAAATTTCAGAAAACGAAAATAAATTAAAACTCCCAGGCCACAAGGTAAGCCAGAAAAACGAGGTATAAACAGTTCTGGATGCTCGATGCTTATATGCACAGGCCAAGCCAATTGGATGAGTGAACAATGACTTGAGAAGTACTTCTCATTCATACGCAGTATAATTCTTGAGATGAATTTGATAACATCAGGATAAAAGGGTTGTTCTCCATACAAGTGATAGGGCTCAGTCTAGAAGGAGAGGAGTATGCAAAGGAATCAGCTCTTGACCATTGATATGTCTTGCTTTTATAAGACGTAGATTGGACGGGACAATAAGGGATGGATTAGAGTCAAAGAGAGTGTTGTGTAGGTGAGAAAAAGAAGCGTATCCAAGCAAACCCATGTAAACCCAGCTGGCAACAATGGGGATACAGAATACAAGACGTCAATAGTCTTGTTGAAAGGTGAGTCTTCTTTTCCTAAAATTCTCTCGTTTTTGTCTCTCTAATTGCTCAGCTCCTGCGATTGTCTTTTATCTTCCTAGTCATAACATGGATATATATGGTCGCCGGGCAGGTCTAGCAACACAAGCTGACATACTAGGCGCCTGATACCCAGGATGCCTTTCCCAAGCTGCTGTCCACGCCTTCCGCTTCTAGAAGGCGGCTTGCAGTTTGGTCGGCCCAGATATGCAAAAGTTAGACCCGGGCTTTCCGGGCACGGAAAAGGGGCGAGGGAGAGAAAGGCGATGTTTTAATTATTGATTTTTTTTTTCGCCGAGATCTGAGACTTTGGGGCGCTATCTTCCGAAGACTTGGAAGAGACACCGGTGACAAGATTTTCTTAGGTGAGATATGGAGATATAGTAACTATGAATATTCTGTCTCGGGGAAGAAATGGTAACAATTAAAATAAAACAGCTTCAGGGATCTTCCGAACCAGAGAGCTGGTTGACAGCTACCGACGGCTTGGACTTGGGTCCAAGAGGCGTCTGTTTGTGGCGTGTCGCACGACAGACATGCGAGGGAAAAACCGCAATACCCTTTTCCTCTTTTTTTTCTCACTACTTCGGTACGAGCAACCGATCGGGGAACGAGGGATGGTAGCCTCTATCTTCTCCCTTTGTGGGATGTGCGTGTATGGGGTGTGGGTGTGTGTATGTGTGTAAGTGTGCGCGTGTTGTCTGCGGAATGGGGTCGGATTGGAGGAGATAGTCCAACGAGATGGAGTTGCGAGAGACACGCAGCTTCCTAAGCGGCGATTGCCTTTTTCCTCACGGTCGTATGACCCGACGTGTCTTAGGCTATATGTATATAGGTAGGTGGAGAGATCCTACTACCAGTAACTCGGTGTTTGGCAATCAGGCACCAGAGGAGTCCCGACAGCGTGGGAAGCATGAAGGGACGAGATCCCAAGTGTGTGTGTGTATGTGTGTGTGTGTGTGTGTGTAAATCGTTATGTAGCTATTCTGGCTGGCTAGTTGTGTCTACCCAGGTAGTGTTCGGTCGTCGTGCGGACCTGTCGTGAGCTGTTGAGCTGCGGCTATCCTTTTCTTGCCCGGGTGTCTGCACCACACAGGGAACTGTAACCCCTGGGCGTATGTATATGTGTTCGATTTTGTGTGGTGTCCCTCCTCTTGGGGGATATGATGCAGTTGATGGTGGGCCATGGTGCTTTTAAGTTTGATCCCAAGAGATAATTGTGAATAGAGCTACTTAGGATAGGGGGCCAGGAATGGGTTCTATGTAGGTTGGGGGTATGGTGTGCATGACGGAAGGTTATAGTTGCCTTCCTTCGATAACCCCGGAAGGCCACCTCGGTCCGATGGGATTCAAGGAAGCCCTGCTTACGTTGAATTTATTATACAAACATGGTATCATCATGATATAGCTATCCGTCCAGATGGTATCTGGCATGGCTAACCCCATGGCCGTTCTTCATACCAAACATTCCTGTAGCGTCGCGGGGTTGAATAGGGTTAACTTGTTGGCAACAATGATGCAAGTCTAGCTCTCTATTGGTCTTCCAGTTATAATGGAGTTTGCTTGAGAATCACATGTATAGAGTTTCACGGCGGATAGGGGAGCCCTTGCGTCGAATTGCTTTGTCTAGCTACCTACCTATCTTAGGTAGGTAGGTATGCAACCTAGTATATAGTATTGCAACAAATTGTCGTCGTATAGGTACTCACATAACAAATTTGGCATTGAAGTGATTAGGACTCGGTGGATACCAGCATATTAATCGATCCGATGATAATTCAAAAGCTCGATCTTAGGGAGTTGGAAGAGTAGTATGAGTCGGGCTTCCTCGAATCAAAAAATTACTGGTAGAAGCTTTTCCCTGTAGTCGCACCCATCTAGATAAGCCAACCGAAGACAAGAGGGAGGAACCTAGACTTAGCCTCATCTATCATGGATGTGACCGTTACAATGCAACGGTCTATTCCAGACCCAGTACGCCGGGTGATTGTCTCACTGCGGCAGGGTCTAGTGCTGTTGGTCAGTGGTTCATGCGGAACACAGCTGGGAAAGCTGGGCAAGACGTCATCGACTCCACGTTTTGGCTTAAGTGTAAATAACATACAATATCATTAAGAGGTTTTGAGTATACAGCCCCTTGGTTGAGCTGTTCGTACGGCTGCCATGGGCTGATTGGGTGTTCGCTGGCCCCTCTCAGGTAGTTCTAGAACTATGACGATAATATCTACCTCTATGCGACAGCATGGTCGTTGCAAATATGGTCTTACTACAGGAAGCATCATGCAGGCGAGCAACTGGGATGACCATTTCATTCAGCCATTCAATGCTTCACCTGGCGTAGGTAGGTACATGTCGCGTTGGCTGGCACGTTTTGGTTAGACGCCTCTGAAGCCTTGGCAGATGGCTTCCTGCGGCGCGGAGAGTTAGGTTTCCGCACATCCAAGCGACGATTGATGCCTAACTAGGTCGTAACGAGTTGTTCCATGTAAAGAAAAAGCATTTCAGCTAGGTATGTTCGCCTTCGGATCTGGAATGTGACCTGTCGACTTGTGGCTTTTGAGTAAGCTGCCGCTGAACCACTTCTAGATTGCGGTCGCCACGTTATTGTCGTTGAAGAAAGCCGATCGAGGGAACAAAGATATTATTATCATTGTCCGTGATCTGTTCGTGATTGTAAGATTCTTGAAATGACGGATAGCGAGTCTTTACCTACCTACTGCATACCGGTATTGTACCTGCAACTTATCTAGGAGAAATAACAATAGTCAATATTCTTCTCCCTCTTTCAACCTCTTTCTCTCACATTGACATGAAAGGAAAAGAGGTGAAGTCTAGTGTTCGGTTGGGCAGGCCGAAGATGCCTCAACACGCATGCTACTATCCTGGTGGTGGCGTTCTGGCACCTTATGTAATTGACACATGTATACCCAGGTAGGCAATCAATCAATGCAAGAGGTAATTCCGAATCAACACGTCTCGTCTCTCAAATAAGTTAATTGCAAGTTGTGCCCCCCCCCCCCCCCCCCCCCCCTCCTCTCCCACACAGCAAGTGTCACAAGTGGTGTGGCGCTGACTTCCTTGTTGACCATCAAGTCACAACTTCGGCCGTTGGGAAAAGTTTCCTGTGCTCCCCCCTTTTCTCTCTCCCGAATGCAGCCACTGACAGTTGTCTTCTTCTTTTAGAATACCTTGGCTACCTAGGTTCTACATAACTTACCCAAATTTGCATGCCGTGCGAGCGGAACCCTAACACGCCCACCGGTCCTGGTCCTAGTAGGTAGTCGCACCGCAGGGCGATAGCATCCTGCTACCTTCCTCGTGAGATCGTTCGAGGGTTTGTTGGTGATCATGGACGACGCTGCGAGGAGAGGCACTCGCTGATACCTACTTACTTACCTAGGCACACCCATCAAACCGTTTATTCTATAATTAAATGACGCGCTTACGTATGTGGTTATCTCGCTCGGATGCGGTCTTGGTCTAGGAGGCGGAAACAGAACACACCTACCTAGCCTATAATCTCCTTATTGATGTTTGCTACACATGCCTTCTTACACCCAATTCCCAACTCCTCATCTATCACGATCCGCACCCCCACCACCACCACCACTTCCATTCCGTCATCGCCATCAGCAAACGGCAAAAGTAGGTATGTATGCGTAACTGATACCAGGTACCTCACCTAGCCTAACTTAGCAAATACGACTGCCTACCTTATGGAGGTATGTGCGTCGCGCGCGGCTACGTGCTTGACGTGACAGCGGCCGTTGCTGCAGGGTGCTCGTTTTGGAGAAAACGGAAATCCAAAGAAGAAAAGTCACAAAAAGGGGGAGGGAATGAGAGGGAAAATTGTTCACAGTGCAACTTGTGTGTGTAGATGTAGGTAGGTCGGTTAGGTAATTAATGAGGCGGCGAGATATGTATGGCGTAGCGGGCGGTTTCTGGATCGGGAGGTATGTAGGCGGACATCCCGCCAATACATGGGGAGATGGGAGGGGTACCTACATATCATACCTACCTACCTACCTACATAGTACCTACCTAGATATATGTAAGTACATAAACCTCCCTTGCCTACACATACATACATAAAATACATAGGTAGGTGTGTAAGAACTTCAATGTTGGGAACAACATCATTGAAGGTGATGGCGAATGGCTTCTCGTTTGAGGGTCTAGACGCGCAAGGGAGTACATATACACTTGGCAGGTACCTAGATAAGCAGGTAGGCAGGAACATACCTGGGCGCTGATTGCTATAGGCACATACATAAAAGCAGAATTTCCCAGCTCGGCAGGCGGATAGAGCGTACGGATAGAACCAAATAGGCCAGGTACCTTCCCAGGGTAGGTACAATGGAAGCAAACAGACGGGTTCCGCGGGATCTCCCCCAAGATCTAAGTCGAAGCGGTGTAAGAACTTAATCGGGAGTGATATTTTTGGTAGTAGACTGAGTGATAGGGGAGGGAAAAAACGGTTGGAATAGTTAGGTAGGTGGTAAGATGGGAGAAAGAAAGAGGGGACGTTTCGCTTTTGTGTGTCGCTCTTGTGTACGGTATTATGGGCCCTCCTCCCCCTCGTGTGCGGCGTGAAATGCCCTAGGTTAGGTAGGTCGAGAGCTGAGGTTTGACAGGTTTCCGAAAGCTCGTCGGGTGCTACCCCTGGCAAATATGCACTGTGTGTTGATATTATGTAGGCCATTATGTAGGTAGGCAATTACTAGCTATGAATGTATATAAGTAAGTCTTGCCACATGTGATAATACTCCGTAGGCATACCGTTGCCATGGTAAGCTTTTCCTGTAAAATGTATTTTTCATCCTCTTGTCTCATAACTCACCATTACGGACTGATTGATATGTAAGTGAGTAGGTGGGAATGTAAGAATACGTAGAAGCACAGCGAATGGGCAGCACAGTCTCACGAGATACAAACAGGTTGGGTGGTCAACGTTACTACCACATACATAGCACGGGCTCTCCACAACCTATAAAAGAAATGTTTCCTATTCCGGCCATGTATAGTAGTAATTCTCCAATAAAAGCAGCTCCTGAGAGCAAGGGTAGCTAAAGAATCTAAATTAGTCAGACTAATGATTGTCTCCTTCTTCCCTCTTCCTACCTAACTTTCCAAGGTTAGCAATCTTCTTCTCTACCTACATCGATCCATCCGTCTTTTCCTTCCCCCTAAAAGATCGATCCCCTTTTGTTCGATTTCCTTTTTTTGTATGGGGGTTTTGAGGTTGCCGTTACATGATGAGTTCCCGCCGTGTGACTCGTACCCCCTAACTTAAAATAGGTGCTTAGGTACCTAGGTAAGTAGGCAATTTACTGGGTCTCTGGTTTCTGCCCGTACACACAGACAAGCGGCATGTACAGGAGCATCGAGTTGTCGTGATAACCCCTCCTAACCGAAACGAGGAACGTCTCTACTTGTTCCCTGGACCAGTGAAGACCCCTGGTCATCGGCCCGAGGGCTATGGCTTGGATCCCGTCGAGCAGAATATTCTTCCAATAAAGCCCGACGCTTCTGAGCGTTTTGCTCCGAGGCCAGGTGCCTATGGGCACATGGAAGACCCGCTCGGTCACGTTGACGTATCCGCACTGTCGCATCAGGTCGGCGATCCGGCCTTTGTCCGAGAACCTCAGGTTGACGCCGAGATTTTCGAGGCCTTCGTCGACGTACTTCCAGTATTGGCTAACGGGGTGGCCTTCTGGTAGCGTGTTGTTGCTGCTCATGGGGAAGTGGTGGATTTCTTGTATTTCCATCCAACCGCCCGGTTTCAAGTGTCTGCAATTACCGGATTAGTATTTGACGTTGGTTTGGTAATGTTAGATGTCACGTAAAAGGGGTGGATGCTCACTCATATGCCGTCCTCAAAAGTTTCTCCCAGTCTTTAATGGCCATGATCGTGTGTCGCGAGTGTATGTAGTCGAAGTAATTTTGGGGTTGAAGCCAGGGGCTTTCTACATCATCGACCATGAATCGGACGTTGGGAGGTACCCATTGTGGCTGAATTGGGCTCAAATCAACGCCGAGAACATTTGCGCTGGGGTATTCATCGCCCACTATATAAATCAGTAAACTGACAACTTATCGCTGGAAGGTGTTTTTAGCAAAGGATCGCCTGGCTTACTCTCGATTGCCCATATTCCTGTCCCTGTCCCAACGTCGAGTATCTGTTGCGGATTCTCTCCGATGGGCGCAAAGTGCAATTGATGACACAGCATTTTGAGCATAGTATGCTTCATGTCCTCGCGTTCCTGTTCGACATCATCGTTGGGGAAATTGTATCGGCCTTCCCTGAACTTATGGTATCTTCGGCCATTCTCAAAGGAAAAGTCCCAAACACTTGATGACATGGACGTAGATGTAGTTGTCGCCGGGTCCGATTCGTAGCCTGCATCGTCGATTGCATCGTCCTCTTCCGTAATAGATCTAGCTTCGACCATTCCATGGGCCTCAGCATCGCCCCCTAACTGTTGTTGGCCCCCATATATCCCCCCGGGTATTTCTCCATGCATATGTGCATTAACATCGTATCTGTCTTCTTGCGCCATCGGCGAGGTGGATTGTGGATATATAGGGTAGACATCGGCGCTAGGAAATCCACTCGCTAGATGGCGCACCGAAGACTTTCCGGCGTCGCAGCTTTCTATGGACGGTAGGTGGAAATTCCAACTGAATTTGGCTGAAAGCCCAGAGTTCTTGGTGGGGCAGCTCGTGGATGGGCCGCCGGAACGCTCAAAGGGTCGGCTTGGAGGGAGTGGGCTATTCGTGGTATTAAAATGTGCCACTCCCGTAACGGAATCAATTCGAAGTCGTGGCAGAGTGATCGGGAAGGTGGAGATCCCTTCCTTTTGGATCTGGGATAAAAGGAACGGTCGTGATGTATAGTGCGAAATATTGGGGGCAAGGTGGGCATGGGTCTGATGTTGTAGCTTGGGAGAGACAACGACGGTTGAGCCACGACTGAAGTCGGCCATGGTCAACAAAGAAGCGAATAAAGACTGGAGATTTTGATAGACTTGTCGTTATATGTCATGAGTCAGGTGATGAATAATGATCTGAGACATTCAAGCAGCCATGCGTATATGCATCTGATAGCTAAAGAAGTTCGGGATGGGCTCGCTCAACATTATAGAATGAAGATGGGGGACATCCTGGGTTTTCGATTGAAATTGACAGGGCTCGCCCTCCCTCTGCCTACGCCACAGTTCTGGTTTCACGAAACGAGCAACAGATAGGTATGGAACACATTTTTTTTAAAAAAATTCTTTATAAGGATGTGGTTATCAAAAGGCCGGTAGCATCAAGCTCGGATGCCCGCATGAGCACCAGCGGTGGTGAAGAGTCTTGGAATGACTGAAATACCCGTGTACTGGGGGTTACATCACCGATACACGGCAGCTCGCCTGAGAGGACCAATCCGCAATAGATCACACACGATTGGAAATAAACAAAGACGTGAAGGAAGTTGGGAATAGAATTTGATGTGAGAAAAGGCATCATGCCTTGACCTCCTTCTACAATGGGCAACCTCACCTCATCGGCCTACGTACGAATCGAATCAGTCCTTTGAAGGTGAAGTTAGGTTGCCAGGTAGAAGGACTTGTCTTATTCCCCAGATTATCCCTATAATGATTTAAACGGTATTATGTAGGTACATGTACCTATTTACCATTCTTGAAGTGAAGTAATCTTTACATCAGATTTGTCTGTGTAAATTGTTATTCAGGGGTCAGGGGTTCGGATAGACATTTTGGAAACCCCACCTCTTCTCCAAAGCCATAGGTACACTGCAGCTTTCTAATCGAACCTCGTGCAGTTCGCCTCGACAAGCGTTATACCAATTTAAAGTGTGTACATATATGTACGGGATGAACTCTCCATGGAGGAAATATGTAAACATCATGTGGCTGTCGGGCATCAATCCGGTTTAGAAGTCAACAAGCAACTTGTGCGGTATGGATGATATCAGTACCATACATGAATTATGATGACAGAATTTATCGTGTTTAAATCAAGTTGGGAATAGTTACCGCATAGGTTAGTACCTACATACCCTAGGTACCTAGGTAGGTATGCACAATACTCATGTAGTACACGGTAATCATTTCATGCTATGTATGCTATTATACCTGCTTATGTACCTGACCAAAGTAGGTACATATGTAAATCTAACACTGTCAATCTGGCAGTTTGCTATCGGTTGAAGAAGGGTGTAATAAATCAGCAAACACGTAAGATCCCGAAAAGAGGTTCGACGTCAGCAAGTAATTTGGTTGGAGCTGAGACTTGCCATAGTGATGGGAAGCTGCAGGTAATTTCTCCGATATGACAACATCTCAAACACATTCGCCTTTGACCTACTTGTTGCTACCAGATCATAACGATGAGTTGGTCAGGTAGAAGAAGTGAGTGGACAGGATTATTCGTTCTAGTAAGCCTCATATAAGAATACCCAGTACTCCTCATATACATAACTAAAAGGAAGGCATGTCAGGTGTAATTGAGATGGCAAAAAGATTTACATCTTCAGAAATAAGGCAATACTTACCAGGTACTACATCCGAGCAGTTATTAAGTGTACGACTTGCAATATAATCGCAATCTATAATGGCATACCCCATCCCTGCAAATCGTGATATTTATTAAACAGCTCTGACAAGTTGAGTTACCATATTTATGTCGGCTGGGTAGGTTAGCCTGGGTTAATAGTAGGTAGCTTTGCAACGATTCAAACCTCTTACATACATCCATCTCCCTATGGTTTTACCCTGTAGCAAGCCCCTGAGTGCGGGGAATCCTGGATTGGGACTGGGCCTACCGTCGACTAGAACAAGCTGACTTGGCTTGGCTTGGCTTGGACCTGAAGCTACATGGTTGGCTACCAGGAATGATGGAGCACTAAGCAAATCTCATCTCGCTTTTCTATCTATTTTTACCTACAGTACCTACATAACCAGTTCCTTGATTCCTTCCTTGTACGACGCGATCACAAGAGCCAGGTTTTCAAATGGCACCAAGCAGCAGATCTTTTACATATTGCGACGGGGCGCCGTCCTGGAATCCCACAACCTACATCGCCGACACGGCCTTGCACGAGCGCGCCGAAGCGCTTCTCGCCAAGGACAACCTGCAGAGTGCCATCGCCGCATCCTTCTCCCTGCCCCCGCCCCATCGCGACCCCTACGTCTACCACGCCATCGTCAGTGTCACCCTCCCCGAGGTCCAGCGCGTCATTTCGCTCGGTGGCCAGAATGGCCTGCACAGCTGGTATTTCACAGCAGCAGCGGCAGCACCGCCGACAGCTCTGCCACCCCCACCGCGCGCCGACATCGACGCCTACCTCTCCATCTTCGACCCGCGCACCTCGACCCCCGCCGCCGCCCTCAAGACCTTCGCGTCGAACGCCAAGAAGGGCAGCTTGCGCGCCGAGATAGCCGCGTACCTGCTGTCGAAGCGGTACATACACCCGGCGCTGGCGCCGCAGCTCGCGGCGGGGAAGCGCGCGAACAGGAAGAAGAAGAAGAAGCCTGCCAGCAGCGACACCACCGCCAACGCCAACGCCAACAATAATAATAGTAGTAGTAGTGGTGGTGGTGGTGGTGGTGGTGGTAACAGCCCGCAAATCCCACCCAACCCCTCCCTCCCCTTCCACGCCTTCGCCATCCGGGCCCTCGAATTCGCCGGGCCCTGCCCCTCCTCCCTCCTCGGCGGCCACCGCGCGCACCACGTCCTCCCCATCCTGATGCACCACTTCGGGTGCGCGTGCCCCTCGCACGAGGCCCTCTCGATCCTGCGCGTGCTGTCCGCGGGCCGCGGGGTCGTGGACATGGGGTCCGGGGGCGGGTACTGGACGTTCATGCTGCGGAGCTACGGGGTGGAGGTGGTGGCGGTGGACAGCATGCAGAGCGCGTGGAGGGTGTGCTGGGTGGCGGACACTGTGGTGGGGGATGGGGTGGGGTGGTTGAAGAGGCGGCGATTAGCCAACAGCAACAGTAGTAGTAGTAGTAGTAAGGCGAATGGGAGGAAGGGGGAGATAGACCCCGACGAACCTGTCCTCCTCCTCGTCTACCCCATCGTCGGCGGCGGCGTCGCGGGCGGTGCCGAGGGCGACTTCACGCGCGGCATGATGGACGCGTATACCGGCGACACGCTCGCCGTCGTCGGCACCCAGAACCGCAACGGGTATACTGGGTTTCGCGGCATGAGCATGGATGAGTATGTCGAGCGCGAGAGAGCAGCAGACGGCTGGGTTAAGGTTGTTCAGGTCGCGCTGCCGAGTTTCCCTGGGAAGGACGAGGCGTTGTTTGTTTTCCAGAGGGGGGCGAGGGCTCCGGTGAGAGATGAGGGGGTGGGGGTGGATGCTGGCGAAGTTAGTTAAGAGTAAGAATGAGGACGAAAATGATGATAATGATTATGAAAAGGGGGATAAGAAAGGTGTGGTATAGAAGAAACCCATTATATATGACAATATCCAACAGTAAGTCAAATTCTCCTATGGTCCTTTACCTTATTTCATCGCGGGTTTAAGTCCCTGCCTAGTAAGTCAAGTCGCCTGGGTTAATTAAGAGACTAGACAGTCCAATCGGCAAATTTTCCTATCATTGTCGGCATAGGTCCTATTATCACAAACGAAGTCACTGAGAGATGCGAAAAGCTCTCCAGACGAAGTTCTCGTATTCCTCACTAAAGCAGGCAAAGCATGAAGTGCCGCAGATCCGATGATCATAGGCACAGAAACTGCATCCACCAAAAGCCTACTCATCAAGTAGTCGATCAGAAATTCACGAAGACCTAATCAATCACAGCCAATCATGTCCCCATAGCATTATCGAAACATCTTCGGTTATTTCCTAGTATGGAGTAAAGGAGGTAGTGAAACCAGCAAAGGAAGAAGAAAGCCTCTCTTCCTTGCGGGCTCAGTACCGCCTCGACGAACTAGGTACACCACCTCATCATCAAATCATATCCTTATCATCCTTCGTTCCCAATCGTAATATTCGTTTCCCGTTCGCAGCCCATATCTGCGATTTCCATATCCACTAACGCCTTGCTGAAATCTCAAGTCTCAAATCCCCGCCATAAGATACCCCAAGTATCCATCCCCATCACCAGCTATCGTATAAGCCTTCACTCATTACATACTCAAACGCCTATTACACACTTTAGCTGGGGGTCAGTTAACGGAGATGCGGGGGGATATACAGTTTAGTGCCTGCGCGTGCGCCGCGGGATAGGCCAGCTCCTCCTGGGGGTGAGGCCGTGAAAGTACGGTCGGGCAGAGGGCCGGAGATGGGCGAGGGTTCCCCGCTGCCGAGCTCGTCGTCGTTGTTAGTAGGCTCCGGAATGGCGGGCTCGGGAATAACGAGCTCTTGGATGATGGGCTGCTCATCATTAGTCTGCTCATCGGCGGTTTGCTCGCCGTCAGTCTGCTCGCCGGTAATCTCTAGGTCTTGTCGGGCAACGCCCTTGCCCTTGTCAGCCTTGTCCCCGTTGACTTCCTCGCCGGCCTTCTCGTGGTCACCCTTCTGCGCTTCCGATGGCCCGTCATGGGGCGAACCCCATCCGCTCGAGATCGTCGAAGCATGCGTTTGCACCTTCGCGACGTTCTCGTTTGTCTTGAGCATGTAATTCAAGGCCTGCTGGTTGGCCCTGAGCCTCTGCTTGCACTCTGCAATTCTGTTGTCCGCCTGGAAAATCTCGTCGAGCAAGGCATCCTTTTCCTTGTCCAAGACATCCCTCATGGTGTGAGGGTTGGCCGTGCGCAGCCGTTCCATGTACTCTGGGTCGAGATGATCAGTAGGGATTGCGTCGTTTGCTCCGGCCTGGACTTTTGGTGTCATAGGAGAAACGTCAGTCTTCCCGGCGATCGGGGAGTCGATGTAGCTGACCTGGGACAGCTTCGACTTGCCCTTTGCACCTGTTGAACTTCCTACAGTGGCCGTGGTGCTATAGGGTTGGGCCACGTTCTCGCTGAACTCAGTGCGCGTTTCGGTCTCGTCCAGCTCGGAAACGTTGCCTGTTGAGGGCGCTGTGCTTGGGCCCTGGACCGAGTCGATGCTCCTAGGCTCGCTACCTGGTACACGAACTGGCATGTGAACCGCTTCCAACCAGACCGCGCAGAGCTTGTTCAGCTCTTCATCTCTGAGTACCAGCTTCGTCTGGTGGGCCGTGATTGCATGATAGACTAGATAGTAAGGTTAGCGGTCAGAAATAGTGGCATTGTATCACAGTACTTACAGTTGGACATAAGCTGCTTCGCGTCCAGAATGGTATCAGGTTGCGAAAGGTGCAGGGCCGCAGCTAGGTATTGCGCGGGAGTCTCAAGTCGGCGCTGGATAATACTGAACCGGTTGCGGCGGTTCTCTGGAGGCAAGTTCACGTGGGGGAAGAGGTCGACGATTGTCCCATAGATGTCGCACTCCTCCTTCAGCTCAGCCTTTGCAAGCTCCTTCTTCCATGCGTGTTCGTCCCAGTCTCGGCATCGGACCTGGGAGGGCTGTTGGAAGTCGAGGTATTCGACGGTTAGATCGGCTAGAACTGTCAATGCAGTTCGGTGCTCCATCGCGTTGAAAACCTCGTGAAGCTCCATTTCGCTTGGGTTCGCCTTCTCGAGTAACTTCTTGTAGGTGTCCCTGACACCATAGCCTCTCCACGCTCCAGGGCAGGACTCAAAGGCTTCCTGGATTAGGTGCTTTATGTGGTTGGCTTGTGACTTTGCATTGCCGCCAAAGGCATTTCCTAGGAAGTGGAATATTCCCTCATTGATAGCAGCACCGGTACGTGTCTTGAGTCCCGACCACTTCTTCTCATAGTGGCTCAGAGGCTTGTACTTGCGAGGACCTACAAGCTGTTCCCAATCATCATTTTCGGCATCGAAGTAGAAGGAGTGGTCCCCGTGGATCGGAGACAAACCACCAATAATAACACTGTGAATTTTCTGCTTCAGGGCCTTAAAGTGTTCGTGCTGCTTCTTAGTAGGAATTTCAGGGCCAGGATAAATTCCTACTCTGTCCGCTGGGCTCAGTCGTTCGTAGTCGAGAAGAGGGCACTTCCATCCAAGGAAGTGGGTACTGATCTTCAGCGCAAAAGCGCCACCGACTTGTCGTGCTAGGAAGTCCAAGTCGTCGCCTTGCACATGTCCGACTGGCGATCGGCAGAGGAAAGGGTTGATGGTCCAGCCAGCGGAGAACATCGCGGGCGTAATCAGGATGACATCCGCATCAGGGCCAAGTAGTTGACGAAGCTTTTCAGTGGTGATTCGGTAAGTGGCATCTACCTTGCCGAAGTAGATATCTTGCTCTGCGTTCGTCAATCCACAGGCAATAATGACCAAGGGCACTCCTTTCGCCTTAGCGACCTGGTGCTTGGCCGTAAGCGCTGAAGTGAATTCGGCCATAAGGTCTTGACCGTTTTGTACTACCTTAATTTCATCTTTACGGTAGCATGTCTTGCCTTCCTGATCAAGGTAAGTGGAAGGCTGTGCCGCGCCATCGACAAGGCGGCCATCTTTTCCATGCGCATAATCATCGGGGCTGGCCTCAACAATTCTGGCGATGTCACACTGCGAGAGCCAGGTCTGGGCGCGAGGATGAGTCTCGCCGCAGAAGAGAGCCTTGAAAGCGAGGAAGTTGGCGATGTGCCAGCCTAGGTCGTTTCGGCCAGCTCGCTCCTTGGGGACGGCGCAGAGGCCTACAATGCCGGCATCGGGGGAGATGTCGGGAATGGTATGAGTGGTAAAGGCGGCGTGAAATACAATATCAGCGCCAAGAGTGTCGGTTTGAACCATTTCATTGGTGGCCGAGAGGCCAGCGTTGTTGGAGGGAACAACGGAAGTAGCAGACATTTTGACGACTGTTACTATTTATATCTATAGAAGGCGGGAGTCAGTATGATTAATGAAGAAGATGTTGCGTAAAGCGCGGATGAATTTAGGCAATTGGCGAGAGCTCTTCTGAGTGTCGGATGGAAGGAAGGTGTAGGTGTTTAACCTAAGTGACACTTCGAAAGGTAGGAAGGTAGGTAAGTACCTAGTAAGGATGTGATATCATAGATATGAATAGGAAATGATAGGAAGAAGAGGAAGCATTCGTCGATGAGGCGAAGGGTATATCGGCCTCGGTACTTGACAAGAATGAAGATGAAGATGAAGATGAAGGTGAAGGTGAAGATGAAGCGGGAGTTGAAGTGGGAGTTGAAGATGAAGATGAAGATGAAGATGCGAAGCGATAGTAGGGTGGAGGGTTGGGCGGAAGGAATGTAATGAAGTGGAAAGTACTTACCTTTCTTGAAGTTCAAGAGTAATTCGCGAGCGATCGGACGTGTCAAGGACGTGTCAAGAGAACGCGATTGGGTTCTATTGCTCAGTTGAGCTTATTGAATGTGCGGTAGTGCGAATAGGGTCGCGAGGATAGAGAAGTATGGAAAGGGTAGAGTGTTTGGTGGGAGTAAAGTAATGTAGAGGGAGAGGTGTGGAGTGTAGAATGAGGATGTAGAGGCAGAAGTGTAAGGTGTAGAGTGAGGAAAGCAGAGTATGTAAAGGGTGTAGAGTGTGTAGAGTGTGCAGAGTGTGCAGAGAAGGGTCAAGTAGGATGGATGTATGGTGCTAAAAAGCTTTCGTTATTTTAGAAAGTTTTTGGTATTTATGATAGAAAGTCAAGAATGAAGAAGAGTGTAAGTTGCTAGAAAGCTTTGGGTGTCTTGCACGTTTGAAGTATTTATGGTCGGGAGGAAAGAGGAAGGATGGGACCTAAGATCAATTTATAGTCGGAGGAAATCCATTACTTGCGCACTACGCACTGTTACTTGAGCACGTTTCTTTCCATTCAACGAGTCACATACTGTACTGAATGGGCAGTCAGGTTACAATCCATTGACTTGGACATTGCGTCTGGATAGACAATGGAAGCTACAACACAGTCTGAAATTCTTAATGGCCTGAACATCTAGGCATCATGTTTGCTCTTGTCGCCCGGCAACTACTAAGTACGGCCGTCAGTGGCTAGTGCTCAGCTGTAAGAAGAGGGAGGGACATCTCATTGGATTGAAGCTTTTGGGTCTATCTGAATAGTTCCTTTACGTCTACCTAGGTAGGTCTCTAGGGATCCCTTTTCGCGAGTGACCATCTCACCATCACTGTCGATAACTGAGACCGAAGATCAAAGAGGCTTAAGAAACTAACCGGCGACGACAAGGTTTATGAATAATAGCGCCTGAGATAGACACAAGCTAGCTGGTTATTCAATAATACTATATGAAAATCTTCACATTCATTAATCTACTTTGATATCTCGTATATAGGAGTTCCTCTTCAGTCTATAGCTATATTGCAGAGCGACGCCGTTGACTAAAAAGTGAGAGCGATGAGAATGAGAAGGTCGAGAGAAGTAAAATGGCCTTGAAGCCAAATCGTAATTCATCAATTAACCGTAGTCAAATATGAGGGTTATATTCGTGGCATATGAGTATAAGTCTTACTGTGCACGCCGGAACAGTGCGCACTTGGGGGAGTTAATTGCAGTAGGACTGGAAAGAACGCCGTGGAAGGAACGCGTTGGTTAATTCCTGCCTAGGCAATGAGTGAAAATTTTTCAATGGCAATTGGGAAGCAGCTATAAACCGGGTGTAGGAAGGTGGTGCGGGTAGGTGTATTCTCACGGCAAGAGCGACCAAATACCTACCCCCCTATTTTCATCCGACCTCGATTTCGACCTTACTAAGCATTTTTAGTGGACGAATAGGTACCTAAGTACCTATGTATCTAATCGTAGGAACATTGATGCAATTCGGTCCTTATGCCAACACGTAGGAGAGCCTCGAAAGATTCCTTGACTGGATTCAGTGTGACGGGAACAAGATAGGCCTTGCTCAAGCCTAGGAAAAGAAGCGAGGGGCTCATGTTAACCACCTAGATGGTGTAGTGGCACATCGCATATCCATCTCAGGGCTCCTCGGCCTGGCCTTATTTTTATTATTCCTTAGGGTAGGCTTTTTGATAAAGTCTTGCCCCCTCGAAAAGTGCAAATCTACCAGCTGTCAGCTGCCGTTGATAGGAAAGTCTTATCATTTACTGAAAATACCTACAATAATTATGAGGCCCCTCCACTAGTAATGATATCGCCAGCGGTTGAAATCCCGTCCTCGAAATGCGCCATTATTACGCTATTTCTTCAGAGTGTTTGTCGCGTTGGATCGACATAATCGCCAGCAGCCATTGTCAGAGATTGGCATAGCTTGTGCGCGGATGGCCTACCCGCCACCATCATCATGAGCACCGAGTTTCTTGATGCGATCGTGTCTGTACTAGGCAAGCTCATGACGGAAATCCAAGCAAAGCAGATGGCTCATCGCGTGAAGACATGGCATTGGAGATCGACGCGTCAAGCTCGCGAAGCATCCTTGGTACCAATCATTAGCCTCAAGTTTGTATCGATTGATTTTGTTTATTACCTACCTTTCATAGACGAACACTGATTATCTATCCCCAAACACAGATATTGTCGCTTAGGTCGTGTCCGCATACATATCTCGAATAAGATCCAGTCAATCTATAAGATCTGGCTACCGAGGCCAGCCCCGACGATAGGGTATGAGGTGAGACTTCTTAGGCTATCTTCATGTAGATGAAGGATTGATTTATTAGGTGCTAACGAAGGGTCGGCCATAGAATACCACCCTTAACTCTGTTCAGAAGTTGCCTGGTCCATAAGGGTATGGCCATAACACCAACCTGTGTACATTCATTTATCCTCGAAGCTTTAAGGTTGGGCCCCGGACCTCCACAGGATTAGAGTTTACGATACTTGGGAATATCGGTTGCGTCCGTTGTAGGACCCGCCCCGATGCATGAAGGGGGAGGTTAAATCGTTCCGTGCCGTGCCGCCTACGATCTCCGTGAACGTTAAGAAGTGGGCCCCCGTTTCGTTGTGTTCACGGCCATACACGGCCGCAGGCACAAAGCGAATACCTGTATGGGTCAAAATAAGCATCCCGAGATGGAACAACAAAGTCCTTGTCCGAATCCCACCTACTCAGCCTCATTGTTCGTCAGGAACCGAGTCCGCCTCACCACAGACTGTTGCTTTCGGGCGGGTCGGAACCACCGTGCTTCTCGTGTCACACCGCAGAGGTGGCTACATTTACTGGCTTCTCGGTAGCTTCTCCGATCTTTGGAGGAAACTTGCTAATGCGCCGCAGAGATTTCAAGATTTCGACATCATGCCGCAGTCTACAAGCCCTATACATCGGGAGAGTTGTCAAGGTGGCACAGGAGGCGATTCCAACGAAAGGAACCAAAACATCGAGAAGTTTCGCGTTCCTGAATATCCTTAGCCTTTCCAGGCCATATCCCTAGGCCGAGGGACGTGAGGTCGTCAGTTTAAGATTCGCCCCTGCTTCTGCTGCAGGCTGATGCGAGATGCGAATCTAGCGATAGGGGTTTCCCGGCCTCATCGCAACCCCAATGCCGTCCGTACATACGCGCGGGAATAGGGGTGTAGGTAGGTAGTTGCAACCGAAGAACTTGATTCCCAGCTCGGAAGCATGCTATTTCCGAGTCCAGCGTTTGTCGCAAGTATCATGGCACTTTTTTTTTTTTCTATTCGTCGACGATCTCTGCTAAAAAGGGTGAGTGTTTCGAGATGAAAGGGGGTGGTGGCGTTATTTCGAATGGGAGATATGACAAGAGCTACATGAAGTTCAGCCACCTACGTATGCGCTACCCTCCCTACATCAAGCAAATGCTGACGCCCATTTGCTTTTTGCAAATCCCATATCCGTGGACCGTGGTATACCGAGCCCAAGACCTGCGGGGGGGGGAAAAGCCACAATCACCCCATTTTGGTTGCTTTTGAATGGAATGGTTGTCTTCACCGGTCCCGATCAACCCACACCACTGGCGAAGATAGGCAGGCTTGCGAACGTGGGAAGCGAGTTGATAAGTGAGTTGGTTTTTTTTTTTGGTTTTTTTTTGGTTTTTTTTTTATTACCTCCAGTCAGTGGTATGTAGCTTTTTTAATTGCCTTTACGAATATAGCTTCAAAAGATTTCTTTTCGAGAACTTGGTTTGCTAAACATACACCATCCAAAACAGTTTGTACGATCAGTTGACGGATGAGGTTTCGCACCTACCTAAACCGGATGGGCCTTTTTTTATTTCTGGTGTACATAGTATGCTTCCCGGAATTCTCGGAGATGAGCCCGCGCTTTGATTATTCATCCGAACGGACTTGAGACCATAGGACGTCTTTACGAGCAGCGCACACAAAACTTGGTACCGGGTCGCTGCGCGGAACTACCGCGTTCGCGTGTCGCCCGAAGGGATGTGTAGGATGACCAGTACTTTTCTTTTTTTCCCTATGTAACGCATCCTTACTCGACATCGAGCTGCTTGCCTCTCTAGGTAAGTGGCAAAGCAAAGTCTCGAAATTGCCGATGGAAGGGATGCTTTCCACGTGCGACAGCTTCGGTAGCGCGCTTCTGCTGGGCCACATCTCGGCCCCGAAATAGATGTACAACCGTTGTACATCGCGAGCCATAGAGGCGGCGCTCCATGCCAACCGGCCGCGTGTCGACATCCGGCTATAAAAGAGGAATGCTATGGGTTGTAGGAATCGCTGCTTGCGATTCTGTTGCAACCCACCGGCAGAGCTTCGCGGACAGCGCCATAAGAATCATTTTTAGATACTCTTCAAGCTTCTATAAATCGATTCAGGAATTTCGGTCGCTTGTGTACACTTTCTCGGGTGTGGTAAAGATGGTTGCGAGTCCACGTTACTGCTTACGCTGACATGTCTGAACTAACCTAGGATCCAAGTAAGGGGTTAGGAACTTTCCAACACTACCAGCGGTGTCTCACTGAAATCTGGTTGTTGTCTATGCCTCGACGCTAAATGTAATCGAGTTCAACCATCCGGAATAGCGCCAGTCAACTTCGACGACCGCTAGATGTCACAATGATGGCCCCTATTTCTCGTGGGGCTCAGTGACAGCTCACATTCACATCTCCACGTCTTGTTAAGACATCCTCGGAAGCCTATGGGCTCTGCTAACAGGTCTATGACCCAACACACTATTTTAGGGCCAACTTGGCAGATTTGTATGTTAGCTTATATCGCTACATACGAGAGTGGCGGCAATCTCGTCGATGGTATGGGATACGGTCTAGAAGTTCCCAAGCAAGACATTCTCCTATGTCTCTCAATAGCAACAGCGCAAGTCTTCCCTAAGCGCTGTCGATATACTAAAGGCGACACTGTTTATCCCTTAACGTCTTCATGACGGTGATCCCCGTGAGGTTGCTAGCCCAGCAAGGGGAAAAGCAGAATCATCTCTTCATTAAGAGCCAGTGCTAATTCATATTACAAGATATCTCTAGTCGAATGCTATACGATACGGTAGCTTCAGTAGGTACCTAGTAGGTGCAATGCGGCGTCA